TGCAAAGTCCATCATGAGATATTGCTGGTCATTGGTTGACCTTCATTGTTATCCCACAAATTTGCTGTCATAGAAAGAAAGATATAAATCAGTATTTCATTGGTGCCCCCCTGCTAAAATGTTGTCATTATTGGGACTACAGTGTGCTATATTTATATTCTTGCCAACAGTTAGTTGAGGACTGACTACAGTACTGCATATGGTGTGACTGTGCAGATGAGGATGAAGGAATTAATTAACTCCAGTGTAGCAAAACCCATTTCAGTATTTTTAGCCGACTCAATTGTGCTCATTGTTCAACTTTTTAATTTTCTAAACATCAAATTTTGCTTGCTAAGCTCTACCTATAACTATAGTGATGTATGGAACAAATTTGTTATTTAATAGCTCTGGAAACAGATATGAAGTGGCCTACAACATTTCCTTGTCTTTCCATTTGTAATATAAGTTTCATCCACAAATCAGCAGTCCAGCCTGCTGCACAGTTTGTAACCTTTCTTTTACATTAACTGCTATTTTATTTTTAAATTGGCTTTGATGTTTTGAAATCATCCAAGAACTTTTTATTTTGGCTTTTGAAACAAATAATTGATGACAGATGTATAGGACACTGGAAAGAATAATTATATAATTTTTAAGGCTTAATAGACCAAATAAATTATTGTCCTCATCATTATGCTACACCAGGGGTCTCAAACTCGCGGCCTGCGGGCCATTAGCGGCCCACAAGACGATATTTTGTGGCCCACTACATGACAGCAAAGTTTAGTGTTTATGCGGCCCGCACGTTTTCCCCATTGTCATGTCTATAATGTGACCCTCCAAGACAGTTTCAGTCGAATCTTACCGATTAGTCTAATAATTTGTATAGAATTGGACGTTGAATATAATGGTAAAATCCGTTTAAAAATCGGACTAAACGTTTTTAGTTTATAGCATTTTTTTAGACAAATGTGGCCAAAGTGTGGTTTTGAGAAAGGTTTAAAAAGTCATTTAATGGATAATGCACAACCATAATTGTGTAAATCGTAGCAATCTGACACAGTATCAAAGAATACCTATTAAAATTGCAGTGTTTATGAGTGAGGGGAATTTCCTAGCCTGTCAACTTTGTCACTTTCGAAATAGGGTTAGTCAAAAAGGCCTTTTCTACTATAAAAAATCAAAAGTCATTCTCCCTTCAATAGCTTCTCCCTTCTGTCAATAATTCATAAATATTGCCTGCTCCTGCCTACTGTTTTAACATGTTTAAGCATTAAAAGCCTTCATGGAGAAGGATGGGGTGGTTGTCTTGTACTAAGTGATATCAAATGGCTCATGGACTTGGCTTTTCTTGTTGACATTACACAGGAGCTGAATGTACCCAACAAGAAGTTACACGATCAGGGATAGCTTGTCAGTGTTCCCTATGACAATGTCATGGCATTCTGTACAAAATTTGTGTTGTGATTCCCAACATGCAAAGTACTCATTGTACACCATTCAGTTGTAGAGTCTAACCTAGTAATAAGTATACTGATGCCATTGCAAAGCTACGGGAAGAATTTGATGTTTTTAGACTTCAAAACACATACAGCCACTTTTCAGCTTTTAGCTGACCCTTTCTCCTCTAATGTGGAAGATGCCCCTAGCCTCTTTTTCCCTTTTTACGCTTTAAATGGTGCTGGTTGATATCCAGTGCAATTCTAAGCTCAGGGATACAATGGAAAAACAGAAAAGCATGGACAATTTATGGAGAGCATTACCCTCCACCTTCCCTGATATTTCCAGGTTGTTCAAGTGGATCATAAGACTTTTTGGGAGTACCTATCTGTGTGAAAAGCTCTTTTCCACTATGAACTTTAACAGGTCAAAGTTCAGGACCAAACTTACTGATGAGCATCTTCAAGCTGAACTGAGGGCCTCTGTTGCTTCCTTACTCAAGCCAAAGTTGCTCAGCTATGTAAGAAGAAGCGCTGGCATGTTTTTACTGGTTATTTATAAAGGTTAGCAGATTGTAACAGTTATACTTAAATGAATTTGTAATCGCTTTTTCGTTGAATACCTGTTGCAGCCCAGCCTTAATCAGATGATTTGCGGCCCCCAGATGATTTGAGTTTGAGACCCCTGTGCTACACTTTTTAACTTTAACTTTGAGCTTAGTGTGCAATGCAGTTTATTTGAAAAGTTTTAACTTATATATGTACATGTCATTGTTCTGTTATAGATTATTTAGGTTGTGTTATGTAGGTAACTAAAATATTTATCAAACTTTTGTTAAAATAATTCCATGTCATTTTTTACAAATATTGCTTTAACTCTTAAGCTTGGTTTCAAATTATCTATAGTGCAATTAATAAACAAACATTTTTTAACTTTATAAATATCATCTCTGACACTGACAAATAAAGGGAATAATGCATTATGCACCTTTTAAATATAAGATGAATTTTCAACAAGTAGAAAAAGTAAATGAAAGAAACATGCTTCCATTTGCAGGGGCTTTATTTCTGCAAAGATTATTCTGTCCCTGCTCTGGTTAAATATTTTTAAAGTTAAACAGAATGTTGACCTTGACCTCCACTGCCTCCAGTGAGGAAAGAGTGGAATTAAAAAACAATTTTTTTAGTTAATTCATGTATCTTTGAAAGTGAAATAATTATTTTATTTCTTTATCAAATAATGGCTTTTATTTGGGAATATTTTTTTTATAAACATATTTTTTATTGAAGTATTTTAATCATGAAGTTATGTTTATTTCTACATTTTTCTAATCTGCCTAAATTTGTTTGCCTGTGCAATCATAGACCGGATCACTCAATATATTGACATTTGCTCATTCCATGTAAAGACTTGTTTAAAAACATAAAATATCATTTAAAGGAATATAGTCCGTTTTATTAAGTTTTAAATTTTATTTTCAACTTGCCCTTAAAATGACACCTTTAGAGAGCTCTACAAGGAACATTGCAAAAATGTGTCTATTAGTGCAGATTGAAAACTTAGGACAAGGTAAATAATATTTAATTAAAATTGACCAGGAAAAAAAAATAGTCAAATATGGGCAGTAGTTACTGGTGATAAAGGATTTAACCTAAAAAAAAATAAATTAAGTCAAATATGTTCATTGAATCAATTACTGTTGTAACAATTTGATTTGGGTGATTTATCCAAGATGGAGAAGGTGGTTTAAAAAGATGTGAAGCCTTTCACTTAATAATTTAATCAAATTGTAACTGCCCCTTTTCCCTGTGGGCCATAGGATGTTGCCATGTCTTGTTATAGTTTTCTGCACTATGCTACAATCATTGGTGTACATTTCCAAGCTAATGAGGCTAGCAGCAAAACCAACTGCTGTTTCTGCTTGTACTTAGGTCAAATCCAGTATTTTTGTGTTTGTAAACAGGTACTGTATTAGTTTCCACATGCAATGGTAGAATTTAAAAAATGCATCCTGTTATCTTGTGATCAGATATCATACATTTGAACAAAGTCTATGTTATATGAACATTACTGATGTCCTATGAACATGTATACAGTACAGTATGTTAAATTGGAGGAAGAAATGTAACTTGTGTACCCTAATCAATTCACACTTATTAAAGCATAAACTCTATCAATGGAATGTTTTTTTTAAAAATATTATATTTGTCACCTACACTATTTACCAATCTGGGCTACAGATGAAAGTCTAGGATGTTTTGTTTAACTTTAATGTTCCTATTGTTGTTTGTAGTTTGCTCAATTAATTGTCATGGATGTCATTGCTGTTCACCATGGTTGTGCCAGTTTGAGAGCAATATTTGATCTGATCACGATTGAAGTACAAGAATGCTCTTAGTCATTGACTCATGAAGATTGCTGGATATATAAATATTTTAAAAAGTAGAACCTATCTAACCTTTATTAAGTATATCAATTAAGTTTATCAAGCAATTTGTTCTAGTTGATTGAGCTTCCAAATGTTAAAAAAAGTGCAAAAATAATTCTGTCATTATATTTATATCATACACTGTTGTATCTCTGACTGAAATGGTCAGGCTCTTAAAAGCGAATTTCTCAAAAGCTTGGTTCTTGTGAATTCTGCAAATTTTTACCAGTCTCTGAGTACAGGTTTACAAATTATAACACTTTAGACTCCAATAAGTTGGGTTCTACTTCTATAATTAATGGAATTTGTAATTCAAGACAGGCATTTTGATACCAGGTATTGGTTTGTTAAGTATGAAAAGCATCTATTTAAATATCTTATTCAAGAATAAGAAGGGAGTTTGGTTCTAGGAGTAACCAACATGCATAAAGATGACAGATATATATCAAAAAGTTCCTAAAGGGTTTTGTAGTGCATTGCCCTCCACAATTTAAATGTTCCTTAGTCTCAGCTTTTTTATAGAAGATGTGCCATTTGAACTCCTTATTTTCATCAACATATTTATAATTGTTTTTTATATTTAAATAAACAAAAACTTATAACTGGGTGCTTGTTTGTGAATTCGCCATTTTTATACTTTATAAATTATATAGTCCCTTTTTAAGAAGTTTAAAAAAAATTAATTTAATTAAATACTTTCTCAGTCAAGTTACTCGGTACTTTTGGTACTTTTATGGCAAGGTCAGAGATAGTCCTCTACTCTTAATTGCTTATCCCTCACCCTCTTTTCCCTTAGCTCATTGCAGTGGGCACCTGTTGTTTTTTTATTTGTCCTGAGCTTGTCTATGTTGAAATAACCCTGTGTCATATTGGAGGTGCTTTTGTCACTGTGATGATGAATTAATAAAGTTAAATATGAAAACTTGTGTTTTTGTCTTCAATCTCTTAAATTCACCAATAGATTCTGACTGATCCTTACTAGGAAAAATAACCCTGTTGACTACAACAAATTCTAATATCCTTTAATGATGTTTAACCCCAACAAATCTCAAGACATTTTTTTTTTTCTGACTGCTTTATAGTAAAATTAAAAGCAATAACAAGCATTTTTGTTAATCATATGATATGATTTAAAAATGTATTTCTTAAGCTACCAGTTAAAACTCATTCACAACTGCATTTAAAAAATCATGAAGAAAAAAAACACAATCATCCACAAGCCATTTATTCCTCCATTAGGAATAAAAGAAATAGGAAAAAAAAGGTCAAAGGTCTCACCAAAACAAATCCCACTCAGCCTTTGTGTTTTTTTTTTATATAATAAAATAATAAAACTAAAAGAGTTTATTATTATTAGTTTCATTGTTATGAGGAAAGAGCAGTGTATTTAAAATTAAGCAAGTAGACAATTGTTTTATTGCATAACTTCTTTACATAAGTTATGGTTACCATTCCTTTCAAAAAAAAAAATGTTTTAATATGTCACCTCCATAAAAAGGAGAGTAATAAACCTATGAATGGCTTTACCAGCCAATTTCAGATTAACAAATCTTCATGACTGTGGCTAGTGCTAACATAGACTAAACATGGTCCCTTTACGATTACAGAAACCTAATAACATACATACAAGATCATGTCAATGCCTCAGCTGATGGCACTATATAACTGAAACGTGTGTGCATGCAAAGCACATGTCAACATATACGAGTAATAAATAACAACCCGTAATAAGTTTAACAAGGAAAAAAAAAAATTACAATGAGTAACTGCTTCAAACATTAAACGGCAGATGACAAAATATGGTTCGCAAAAGTTGACAAATTCAATTAAGTTTGTTGTTATATATTCCTCTTGTACTTTGATGCACAGGAACATTTGTTCTTAAGGTATCTATCAACTAAAGTGCTTGAACCAAGACAATTATCAAATAGAGATATTTTTAAACAATCACAAATGTGCTTCAGTTTACACAAAAATGGAGTTGAAAACCAAAACAATAAATTGAAATGACTATCAAAATAAATAAAATGATTTGAGATGAAAATGATACTATCATAAAACAACATTGTAAGGGCATCATACAAAGGTACTATTTACAGACTGGCTAAGTGGATGGATTTTTGGCGCCAATATCACCAAGACAGAATGTGTATTTAGCATGGCATAATTTAAGTGATTAAATATTTTGGGACATGAGTAGAAAAACAATCATAACATGTTAAAAAAAAAAAGATTTTTTTAAAAGGCTTTTACAACGTCCACCAAAAGAAAAATTTGACTAAAATTCAACTTGTTATTCATTTGTAAACCCCACATGCTACATAGATATTTTTTAACAAGTATAGTAATTTGATCTTTTGCTTCTTGAATCAGTCCTGCAGAGTATTCAATACCTATACAATTTTAAGAAAATAATTTTAAAATTGTTGAAAAAATTAAGTCAAATATAACTTTAGTGTTGATAATCAATATTGACTGTTGACAATTTATAAAATACAGGTACCTGATAAGTCCAAACCTCAAGTTACACTACAGTTTAATCAAAATCATTAATTCAACATGACAACACCAAGCAAGCAGTTTGAAGCCATTGACACTAAATATTTTGTTTAAGTGAATCGAATATTAGAGTATCTATGGTTATATATTAATTAACGTGGAGGTCTGGGCCACCTACCAGGTGGGCCATCAAACAAGGGTCGAGGAGGTCCTTGAGGCCCACGTGGACCAAATCTTGGACGGTTTTGATTCCACGGTCCTGGACCTCTAGGTCCTCTTGGTGGGCCCCCTGGTCCACCCATCGGCCCCCTTGGTGGCCCACCCATTGGCCCTCTTGGTGGCCCACCCATAGGACCTCCATGTGGTGGTCCTCTAGGACCCATTGGCCCACCTCTTGGAGGTCTTGGTCCCATACCTGGAGGTGGTGGGCCAGGACCAAGCATTCCTGGGCCACCCAAAGGTGGTGGACCATTAGGAGGTCCAGGAAATCTACCCATCAATCCTGGTGGACCTCTTGGTCTAAATGCTGGTCCTTTCAAAGGGCCTTCTGACTCGGGTGTACCAGGTGTAGGAAACAGTCCAGGCTTTCCTGGTCCACCACGAGACTGGTTGTTTGAGCCACTTCCAGTGCCCTTTTCAACAGTGGCTTCTGGAGTCTTGTCCTCTGGCTTAATTAAAGGTTTAGGTGATGGTCGCTTGTTGGGCTCTTCATCATTTTTTGTGAGACTCTGTTCCGTTTTCCTGGGGCTCTTGCTAGAATTATCACTGCTTTTTGAACGGGATGATTCATTTCCTCCTGGAGAGTGGTTTCTGAATGATGGCTGTCCAGAAAACGATCCCCTTTGTCTAAACTGTCCAGAGCTTTGTCCTTGAAGCCCTGGTATAAGTGGTCTAGGACCTGGCCCTTGGCCAAGTAAACCATCCCCGCTGTTCTGGCCCGATATTTTGTCAGAACCTCCAGTGTTACTGGATAGACCAAAGTCTGGTTTCAAGTTGCCTAACAAAGGGGGTGGTGGACGTGAAAAGTTCACATCAAAAGAAGATGACTTGCCGCCTTGTGACTCTGACGTAGCGGAGCGACTGGATTGGCCTGAAGCTGTTGAAAAAGGTGATGGGCTAGGAAATCCTGGAGGTGGCTGACTGTATAAACTTTGAGCAGATCTATCAGATCCTGGCTCTTGCTTCATCTGATCTGAAGGAAGGCCATCATCTTCCCCTGGCTGATCCCATTTAGATTTGCGTCTTCGTTGTCTGTCTGATTTCTGGCCTGAGTCTGATCCATAATCTTGTCTGTCTGATGCACTGGAACCAAAATTTTGGCTGTTCCATGACGATCCTTCATGATGAGAGCCAGAATCTCTATTATGACTTGCTCCATCCCGGCGATCACTTCCTCCATAACCACCTCTGTCACTCTTATTCCTACTGTATCCATACCCTGATGATTCTCTATCTCTATTACGGTCTCTGTCTCTATCTCTTTCCCTGTCACGATCTCGTGAGTCTGGCCTATTGAAGGACAAATCCCTACTTCCACTACCCCTTTTGTCACCATCTCTCTCTTCCCGTTGAACAGGCCAATCGGATGGCCATGAATTTGAAGATTTCTCTGGTTGCTGCTGTTGTTGCCATTGTTTAGACTGGGCTTTCTGAAGAATTTCCTCTTGCCAAGATGCAGCTGCTGCTTGTTGTTGGGCGTGTTGGTGCTGTGCAGCAGCAGCAGCAGCAGCTGCTTGAAGATGAGCAGCCTGCACCTGTTCAGCAGCTTGTTGCCAGGCATGTCGACTGGCCTCTTGACCCAATGACTCATAACCCGGCGGAGCTGCTCCATATAAACTCTGACCGGTTGCCTGTGTTACCAAGTGATAAGGACTTCCTGCCTGGAGCTTGGAGGCATCCACTAAAACATGACCTTGTACTGCTGCTGCATGCGCCTGGGCTTGAGCAAACTGAGCGTGAGCATGAGCTACTGCATGTCCTGGGTGTTCTTGCTTGGCTGCAAGACCGAGACTGGCTAATTCAGAGGCCTGGGCCGGTGCCATGCCGGGGGGAAGAAATGCCAACTGGACACCTGGTGGTAAAGGTGGCGCCCCCAACAAACCTGGCTGAAAAGCTGCAGCATGAGAAGCCAATAATCCAGCAGGATAGCCAGGAGGTAGACCTGTGCCTGGCCACTGGGCAGGTTGCACACTTGGTGATGTCTCCTCCTTGACTTTGCTGGGATCCCAGCCCTGCCTAGCACTGAGAACCGCTTGCTGGGTAGAGGTGGGCTGCCTATCATCTTCTTCATACTGTTGTTTAAGGAGGTCAAGAGCACTACCTGGGTCAACTTTATTTCGTTTTGATGGCGGGTCATCTTGATCTCCATACCAGTGTTCTCTCTTCAGGTTATCTCCGGACTTCTCATAAGAGCCCGATCGTCCATATGATTGAGATCCATAACTTCCAAATGGTTGTCTTTGATCCTGAAGAATAAAAATGTATTAAGAAACTGTTTCTCAATCTATTTATAGCACATGGTCAACAATTTCCTCTCAATTTTGCATAATTATATAGTTAAAAGATATAGTTAAAAAATAAAATTATTTTGCTTATTCGTTTTATGAAAACAAAGTGTAACCTAATGAAGGGCCAACAATTACTAAATCTTTTTAACTATTCAAACGGCCCCAACAACTAATCTTAGCTGATAATTGTGTTGTGTGAGCAATCACTAGAATAAAGTATTTCAGACAAGCCTCACCCCTGACTTTTTGTTCCCATCAAATCTTCCTTGTTGACTATCTTGCCTGGGTTTTGATTTTCCATCTTGGTTGTACCTGAAAAAAGAGCATTGTTAAATTATTTGTATTTTAGACCTTAATTTGAATACACAAGCTTATCTCCAGTCAGCACATTTAGGTAAAAATATGTAGCTAAAAAAAAAAATTAAGGAAAATCACAAAAAATTGTGTATGATACTACTTTAAAAAAATGTTAATGTTCACTCAGTACAAATGTGATTATTGAAACCTAAGCCCCACCAAGCTAGGTGATGGTAGTAATATATTATTTTCTTTTTTAATTCTGAATTTTCATTGTTATTTCTTCTTCTATATATTAAGGGCCCATGATCAAGTTCAATTCTAAGTAACACTTTTAGTAGTGTCTTGTATTACAAATCTGTAATTTTCTTCTGCTGGAATAAAGAAAAAAAAACTGAAACCAACTTTATTTAAATGAAACTACTTGTTAAAGAAAGCTTTCATTTAAAGTTATGAGGTTCTTACTTAACCCATGAGGTTCTATTTTTATAAACTCGTGATTTAATATGTCCCTTTTCATACATATTATCTCTTTTGCTCCACATCTTTGTTTCTTTTGTGTATATTCTTCACCCCCCTCTCTCTTTGTTCACTCTTTCTTTAGCTCTTTTTATTTCAACCCTACTTTTAAATTCTATTTTGAATTTTGTTCAATTGTTTTATAGAGAAAAAAACTTGTCTCATTACTACATTCAAACCTGGTCACTCAGAAATTTTGCATATGAAATCCCAGCCAAAGGGAAATAAAATGCAGTTAGTGCAGGTAGTTTCAGGATCTGTCCTGACATAATTCAATGAAATAAAGTGATGCTTGCTTCATATCAATAATTGTCATTTTGTATGTTACCCATTGTGTGGAATGAATTCAAATGACAGATTGAAGTCGTCTTTTTACTGGTCTGCCCTGGGCGGAACTTTTCACTCCCTGGGTTCTCACTCTTTTTTAAAAACAAATTCCCTACTTTTTCCCAACTAAAAACAAAAAAATTCCTGACTGTCGCAACACGATGATTTTGTTGATAATATTAAAAACAAGCATGAAATTATAAAGGTAAATACAATAACTAAATGCAACATAGATAAACAAATTTGAGCAATAAAGGTGTATAATTGTTAATATTTTTTTAAATTTCATAGCAATTGCAATTTTTTCAAATTACTTAGACTTGAAAAGTTGTTAAAAGCAAGGGAAATTTTTGCAATTTGTTCTCCTGGGAATTTTAGGACATACATAAAGCTACCACAAGCGGAAAGGATCTTTTCATAGGTGGAGTCAATGTTTTCTTCTTGTGATGAAAATTGATAGTTTGAGTGAAAATATTTGAGTCAGTGTCTTTAACATCTTTCCAATCAGGGTTTAGTTTTTCGGACACATAAATTGGGAGCTTGTCTGAGAAGTGGACACTTACAAAAGCAGAGTAAAATAATTCATGCGACAAGGTTTAAATCTGTAAGCTAACTCACTGTCTGACAAGCTGCTGGACCACATCCTTAGGGAGCTCAATAAAATCAATTCTATCAAACAAGTTGTCTCTGTCTTCTGGAAGAGAGAAGTTTGCTTTCATCTCAAGGACTGCTGATTCTGGCACAACTTTCCCTGGGGAAAAAATGAAACATTTAACATGGGAAACCATAGAAGCATAAAAAATTACTTTAAAATGCAATCGTATATTTTTTAAAAAGCATTTTTATGAGAAAATACCATAAGGTGGGGAGAAAGAAAAAAAAAAAAGGGGGGGGAAAGAGACAGCAACACTTTTCTTAAATTACAATAAATTAAATTGGTTAGAGAAACTGCAGGCAGAATATGGAGTAAGTTGGTCCCAATTTAAATCTATAAACATATATCTAATTTTTATATATATTAATAGGAAAGCCTTTAATGATTTCTCCTTTGTCAAATCTCTAAATACATCTAGAGACCACCTACAATGATAGCTATATTTTTATAAATAATTGTTCATAAAGTTCAGATCAAGCCAACAGCTTAATTTATAACCCAACAAGACAAAAAGTAATTTTTGCTCCTTGTACTAATCCATACCATCCTCCTGTGTTCTTTTCTTAGACCTTCGCTCCAGTTCAAGATCAGCTGGCTGAATAACTGCACCTATTCTATAGAAGCCAGTGAAGTTTTTCATCTTGCGACGTCTAGCTGAGCCATACACATTTGTTTGATCCAAGATGTAATTTCGCCTACGCTTGGCAGCTGAAAGAATTCACAGATAATGATATTCAATATCTGATTTTACTGTTAACTAACATGATAAGAATGTAGGGTGACCTGTTTTACAGACTGATTAAAAAATATTTTCATAAATACATGCAGAATTGTTAATTTACATTTTAAAATGAAGGGACCACAGATTATTTATACAGATTATTTTTTTGCTTCTTTCTGTGAAATATGGAACATATCAACAGTTCAAAACTTGAGGAACTAATGTTTGCTGTTAATGGATGGCGCCTAGTGACCTACATATGGATAGTGACCTACATACGTGTTATATTTATTTTTATGCAACCCTTTTATTTCATTTATGTATTAGCCATTTTGAAGTGTACGGTACTTATGAGAATTAAACACAGGGGGCCTGGTCAAACCTGAATTTGGTATAGGTACCAGAAACTAACATTTTAGAACCACTTGCAAAGCCCAACAAAATATACCTCACATAAGCCTATGAAAATATGGAGGGCTAAATATTACTGTATTGTCTCTGCTTATTAATACCATTTGAGTATATCTAGGATGTTCATTTGTGAAACATGGCAATATTATGACAATAATTCCTACAAAACGTGTGATTTCTTTAGAGCATTTGAGATATAAATAAATGTGCTAGTTTTGGATTTTCAGGATGAATATTGTAGAATATTTTAATTATGTATGTATTTTATGCCGAGGCAAAATCTTAAAAATCAACAACCCCTATCTTCCCCACACTCAGTGCGAAGGTTCTATAAGGATGGCCCCAGATTGATTAAAATCGTCACTAGGGTGACTTCACTAATATTACTGTTGCAATGTCTAGCGAGTTTATTCATTAAGAAAACACAAAGCAACAATTTGACCATCACCACTTTTGTTATGAAAATGTGGCGATGTTAATTTTATACTTAATATTTAGGACATCCCCCCCCTCCCCGTGCACATAATCTTCTAAATCATCACCACTTGATTCCCCTATCAGAGCAAACGTAAAATAATTATAGATGGACCCCAACCAATCCTATTTCTCGATTCATTCACTGCTGGCTGTAGAATACAAATTAAAACTAAATACCGAAAATGTTCTTCTCAATTTATATATTTTTTTATTATAAAAACTACCAGAATGTATATATTTTCAACCCTGTTTCTTAAAATTGTAGTCCTGACAGGTCTTGACGTACAATAGTAAAAGACATCTCAAAATCGTACATTGCACGAAAAGTTTGATAAAGTGTCAAAAATTTTCATTGAAATTTCAACTACTAATGCAAGGAAAAATTGTTAATTTTAAAAAGTCAATCAGAGCAGCTCAATATTCTGGGGAAATACGAGAATTTTTAACTATAAAATCTGAATCAAAGCGTTATCATTAGTTTCAATGTCTTCTGTAAGCCAAACAAATTTATAAATTTTTAAAAAAATTGGTGCTAGCACACTATTTTCACTATTAGAAGTTTAATAAATAATAGTTCAACTTTCTTCACACTACCATAATCAATTTTAACCTACTATATAATAGAAACAAATTCAATATAACTTCATGTCACAACACTCACCCATTGTGAAAAGTTTATTGAGACATTTGGTAGCTTTATCAATAAGTACTTCCCATCGGCCGGCATAGTTTCTCTTCCTGGGAAGTCCCATAACTCTCATCTTGTCAATCAGTGTGTCTGTACCAATGATGTTGTAACGTTTTTCTGGGTGGTTTTTCTGCATATTGATCGCCCATGTGGTTTTGCCTGCTCCTGGGAGTCCGACTATCATTATCATCTATAGAAGACCAAACAATCAGAAAAATAAGCTTGACAAGTGACAATAATAAAATCATTAACAATCCAACCATCACAAGCAAATAAACCAAATGATAATAAAACGATGGAGGTACCTACAACTGGTGGCCCCTTTGTATAAAGAAAAGAATAGAACAAACAGATGATAAGAAAGAAGCAAATTTGAAACAAATGGAGGACACCAAAAAATGTGAGATTTACATGTCTTTGACTGGGATTATTATGTTATGAGGGAAGATATGTTACAAAAGAATAATGAATCCCACCAAGAACCAGCTCAGTGGAATAAATTATAATAGGAAGCAAAGGGGAAACTGCAAGCAAACAATAAATGCTAGGATTTATGTTTTTGTTTCAAATCACAAAACAATAAGGTTTTTCATTTCTCTCAAAACAGTTAGCTACTTGTTTACTGGAGGAAAGAAGATTGTGGCAGGAAAAAATATAAGGAGAGCAGGTTTTGAAATAGTGATAGCATACACAAAAATGATGTTCAGAAAAGGGGGGGGGGGGGGGGGTGGAGTGTTGAATCATAAATTAAGTAAAATATAAGGCTACATAAAGAGAACATAACATAATTCTGAATTAAATAATGCAACGCAGGAACCAAATAAATTTGTGTAATCAAATCTGAACACTAAAAGTAGTTGGTTATCTGTTTCAGAAGAATTAAGGTGGATTGTGGATTCTGTACACAAATACACACATGCAGTAACCCAAAACTTGTCATTGAAGAAATCAGGTCGAGTGCGTTGTTAATGATTGTTGGTGTTGCCATAAGATGGTTGGGGAATCCTTAAAATATTTTATTAAAGCAATGCTATTTGATGTTTGAAATATATAAATAAATCAGTGTATCAAAAAGTCTTTCCCAAAATAAATTCCTGAGAAGGGTATGTTTAGAGCGTAGAAAATAGTAATTTAATATAAATTATGCTTTATGCAACCGACACATTCTTCATCATATTTGTAGTAAAATCCTAAATACACGGCTTTGAAAAGACTTTATACAAATAATTTACCAAGGCTATGATTAATTTTATTCATTGTTTTTACTGTATCTAAATTAAAGATAATGTAAACTACCAAAACCTTGCAGAAATAGATAGATAGTATCATAATTTAGATTATAGAGGGATTGTATTCCATACAAGTACTAAAAAAATGGTGCCATTATTTTTATAACCACCACTTTAATTTTAGGTTAATGTTCAAGTTTTTCCATAGCAAAGACCCCCACTAATTGCCTAATCAAATAAAAAAACAATATATTCTAGTTTTTGAAAGATTGTGCTTTGCAATGTTTAAAAGAAATAACTTTTGTTTTGTAGACAGCTACAAGATAAAAATGAGGCTGATTTAAAGTTAGCCATTCAGCCCAAGACAGAATCTATTTTAAAAATTAATAGCTATAAAGAGCCTATACTCACTATTATTGATTTATATAAAAACTTGTTATATTCGCAAGCTAGGGAAGAGGGGTCAAATCAGGAGATTTTGCATGGCTGTTGAGGGGACTCGAGCATTGCATGAGTTAGCAAAAATGCTGAGTTAGAACCTTGCTTACATAATTTCGATGAAAAAGAACTGTTTTTGTGGTAGCTGGCAGATACCTCTAAAATTTTTAATTTACTATTTGTAACATATCATAAGCAAAGTAACATGATGAAGAACTTGTAATTTGTTTTAATAATCAGCGCATGATGAAATGTTGGGCAGTTGAGTGTGTGTAAAAATAGAAATATGTAGCACATATAATATATATGCTTGGTGTCTAACTTTCAAAAATGCAAAGAGTATGCAGTTAATTATTAGGATGAAATTCAGCATAAATTGGTTGTATTGTCTAAAAAGTACTACATTGTAATAGATTTAAGCTGAACTGAAGAGAATTGATCCAATTGTTGTAATGAAACTTTACATCAACTGTGCCACAACCCTGGAAGGACATTTACATGCTCAGTTTTCAATTTATATAACCGTAAAATGCATGCTCAAAGATAGGAAATAAACAAACTTAGATCCTAAGCAGAAAACATGCGCTAATTTTGCAAAGATGAAACTTTATTTTTAAAAGGGCAAGGTAGTGTCAAATTCCATGTTAGCATGGAAAGCTTGTCCAGTGATTGACTCAATAATTTTATTAGTATTTTTAATGTAATGTTTCATGAATGAACAGGATTACAGCTTATGAACAAGTCATACACCAAACAAACCTTTTACAAATATGCAAAGTTTCTACTGTTTGCGTATAATTATTTTATTAGCTTTATCTGAATAATGCAAGACATTTCTGGTTTTTAAACGTTTTTTTTTTTTTTTAAGTAGAATTTTATTAACTTAATTTTAAACCATTTTCAGTATCCTTGAATTTTCTAAGAACTTTACTGCTCTGTTGGGATTCATAGACTGTGATATTAAAACTAAAGTAAGTGAATGTATTTAAAGAATTTTAAATACTTTAAAAATATTTTAAAATTCACAAATAAGAAGTAAAAGTATTAATGTTGAAAAGTAAAAGCTTATTTCATTTAGAAAACAATGTGAAAAGATTTACTTAACCTTCATATCAACATTATACATGAGAAATTAGGAAAGAAGCAGAAGCAATTCAAGAATGCTTTAAATACAGCTCTCCTCTTTTCATATTTGATAATGATGTGTTAATGCTATCAACTAAAATAAATAAAGAGTTTTAAAAACAATTAATTGATGAAAATAACTGGCTGCTGTACTTTGTGAGTGAGAGAAATACTTTTTGAAGGAATAAATTCATACACGCTTCAGGGAGAGAAGAAGTTTGGGTATGACAATTTTTAAAGTGTACAACTTAACAAAAAGAGTTCTTGTACTATGTACCCCAATAGTGAAATAGTAATAGGTAGTGTTTTGTCTAGCACTTCTTAAGCTTAATATATAAATGTATTGTGTAACAATAGTAAAAGACTGATAATTCTATTTTTGATCTCTACCTTTGGTAGCTACAGATCTTTATGAATTTGTATCTAACAGTAAAAGAATGCCTAAGAATATTTCCATTTCCATTTCTAGTTAACAGTATTCAGAAACATAAAAATGTCATAAATGAGATATTTTGCAAGTGATCTGATGACAGAAATTGGGGTGGAACAATCAGAGCAATTATCTTCTATTTTTAATGTTATAGGTATGCCTCCACAAAAAAGGAGAGTATTGTCAGATTTGAAAAACAACAAATAATTTTGTTTAATTTCAAAATGTCATTGAGTTCAAAATAAAATTTTCTTCAATGGACTCAAATTTTTTTTTAAAATCTGTATAGAATGGCACTCTCAATCTAGAGCAGTAGTTTTAAACACATATATCTGACATAATATGTAATTTTCACTACTTTTTTAAAAATAAATGTACTGCTTCTGGTTACTTTATGTAACAATTTAAATATTTTACATTAAATTTTTAAACTACTACACAAAATACTGGTTTATGGAACATGTTTATTTTTACTGGTCTAGAAAATAAAGAAATTTTTTTCATATGCTTTTAGGCAAGAATATAAGTTTTGGTTTAAAATTATAGAACTTATTTATATTAGGTTTGTATGCGCTAATTTACAGAGACCCGTATTAGATTTTTAAAAAAAAAGCTGCTTAACTGAAGATGGCAGACTTAAGATAAATAATATGGAGATGGTGTTTTCATCAATTATTGATGAGTTGACTCAAAATATGGAGCATCCCCACAACTAAAATTGATACTTCACAAATAACTTTGGCGTTCATGAGTAAAAACAACATCCACAAAAATTCAAACAAACTAGACATATTTTTTTGTAAATGTGTACTTACTTTTGGTAATAATTAGAATAGAGAGGGAAGAACAGGGCTACAAGTTTAACAGACACTGAAATTTTCTGACTGACCATAGAAAATCGCAACAACACAAAAAGGGGACAAATTCACAAGCCCAGTCCATTAATATAAAAGTATGTGTGAATGGGACAGTTTAAGAAAGCCTGTAAGGCATACCATAACAAATAAACCTAACCACATCCCAAACATTTATACACACAATATAGAGGATGGATCTAATACAGTTTAAGTAGTAATGTTATATGAGTTAGTTCAACATTTTTGAGTGGGAAATGCTGCTATTAAATTTTACCGTGTGTGAAGAAGATACGTAAAAAAAAAAGTGCTTGTCACTTAATGGAAAACGAAACTCAAGCAAAATTATTTGATATACCTGATTGAGATTAAAACAATAAAACGGCATCGCTCTTGTTCACTTGCCTAACTAAATCTAAAAAAGGGAAATGCTAACAAAAGGGGTCCAGAATCTTGATAACTTCATGCAGTAGCCTCAAATTGGTAGCAGGTGCTAAAGCAAAGGTGAGCTGAAGGGTCTAAACTAATGTATTAGTAAAGATGAGAAAAAAGAGCAAATCTTGATCCAATAACTTTCATGCAGTAATATACTAATGAACAGCTTTACAGTATTTGCATTATAAAAATAGGAAATCTTCGGTACTACAGTTTTGAGTGGTAAACTTAATATTTAGAATGGGAAAGTTGAAGAAAAATCAGTAGCAAATAGCAGTTTTCATTCTATTCAGTGTCTAAATTATTAGTAACACAATCAACTTTTTCATGGCTTTGTAACAAAAGCAAGCATGCAAGAACTGATGAGAGCCTTTCCATGTCTGTTACATTTAGAAAAACATTAAATACAATACTAGAAGACAATAAAACAAACTTAGATATGAAGTAGTGGCTCTAAAATGAGCCTGGAAAGCAAGAAAGGAGAACCAGATCCTTAAACATTGAACGGATAATATAGTTTTCCATAAGATGACAGACACACTAATGGTTTAGTAGTTTAGAACTCGCATATATCCCAGAGTTTCCTGTATATAATGTCAACATAAAAAAACAATACAACAACTAACAAATGATAACGAGTTGGAAAAATGAGCTGAGACATCAAAATATGAAATCTAGAACAGAAATCAGACAGAAGAAAGTGTTAAAAAAAAAAAAATTAAAGAAAAGGGAAGACCAATATTGGGGACAGCCTAATTGGGTCAAAATTTTACCAATAAATATGGCTGTTGTTTTTTTGTTACTGGTTACTAGCATCCTTTAAGCAAGTGAGATTGAAGCAAATAAAAGCAGGCATCAACCATGATAAGTGTTACAACTTTAATTTTATCAAGTACTCAGAGAGAGATAAAGAATAATTATAAAGAAATTTAAGGTTATAATTTCTTAGAACAGAAAGTATAAGCTGTCATCAAGTTTTCTTTAATCTGTCCTGATGTTCAACATTTATATTTAGATGTTTTTATTTTAAAAGTAATGAACATAATTCAACTAAAAAAGATAAGTAGTAGAAAAACAGTATTCCATATTGCAGAATTGGTGGTGCAAACCTTGCATAAGATTTTGTATATGTATATTAATATTATGTAGTTATCATCCAATGAACAAATTTTCTGTTTTTGTTTAGATTTCCCAGAAAGTGCTGCTAATACTACATACAAAAAGATTTTTGTCTTCCCTTTTAAGTTAGTTTCAGTATAGCATTAGTATTAACAATTTTTCCATTTTGTAGTATATTAGTCCATAGATTCTTAACTTCTTTTTCAAAAGCAGGACTAAAACAAGATGCTTGAGTTCTAAGCCATTACAAACTCACTTTATTTAAAGAGCACCGATATATCAATGACTTTATCTGCGTCTCATTATATTTGGTGCTTTAAACTTTACCTCACAATCTGATTTTCTGGCAGGCGGGGTCATGCCCCGAACTCTCTCCAGCAACTGTAGATGTCCAATGTATCTGAAGCCCATAGGGGGCGGAAACCAGGCTTCCATCTGCCCGTAGTTCACCTTGAATCTAAAGATGATTAGATGAAAGAAGCACAGGCCACATTATGCAATTTTTTGTGATACTGCTAGAATTGCCCGAGGGGGGGACTAGACGATGCTGATATAGTGATGAGATGCTGCCAAACATGACTAAAAAGATAGTACCAAAGATAGTGGAAAAATGTAATTACAAGAAACTGTAAGGCTTATAGGAACTAAATTAGTTTTTTGAAGTTTTAAAAGTAACTTATAAAACTGTGAGTGGTTGAGAAAGAAAGTATTTGACTATACTATGACCTGATTCACATAACTTAATAAGAGTCAAACAGCCTTCTTAAGTAAAGGAAATTGCCTTTATTAGTTGTTGTTTTTTTAAACTTCCTGTATTGAAGTAGAAGAGTTAGGCAGAAATGCTTATGTCACCATCTGCTGATGACTATAAAAAGATTGAAATTGAAAGGGTAATCACATTATTTTTTTTTATTCAAGCTTTATAGCTAAAAGGATTAGGCTCTAAAATTATCATTTCTGTCTCCTAAATGGTCTGGAGTTTCTAAGAAATCAATAAAGCTGTAGATCTGCAGGTAATTTACAAAAGGGATCTAAATCAAGTGTTGAGGCAGGCAAGCAAAGTATAAGGTAGAGCAGATTTTCTGTTAACTATTAGTATTGTTAATTACATTTTTTTTTAAATTATATTTTTCCATACATATAAGATTAAGATTTCTGCCTTTATTGTCTTTCGGGAAGTAGCAGTATCACATTAAAGCCTGAAAATAAATTATAAAACAACAAAGTTTACAGAGTTAAATATTAAAATTATGCAAATATGAAGCGCATAATACTAATACAAAAAGGGGAAACAGAATTAATAACATGTATATCTGGCCAAGAAAAAAATTATGAAATGGTTAATGTGAGTGAAAATATGCGCAGATGGAGTTCTCTAAGTCTATTATAAATGTACTATGTGTAAAATAAAGGTGAGTGATTTCCTTGACCATGATGAACACCCAAGGGAAACATGCATGAAAAAATATTCAAATCATGCTTACTGCCTTTATATTTTATTTAGGAAAACTTTTAGCTGTAGCTTTTGTAATATTATAGCGTGTGTATCAATTTATTGAATGTTTTAAAGTGTCTGAAGTACATGACAAGATGGTCACATTAAAGTCATAGAGAAGAAATCATTATACATAATACAGAATGGCTAAATTGTTAATCAAACAACACAATGACAGGAATACAATCAATTTTGGATGTATTTTATATGGAAGGTAGATCATAGACAAATAATATGTTCAGCTTTTTAATGCATATACATTTGTAAACTATAATAAAGTATGTTTCACTGAAGCACCAAGAAATGATTTGAAAATATTTCTAAATAAGTATTCAATAAAAGAGAGCAGGCAAAGTCTTCAAGTAGGCTGTTGATAACTATTGAAAAGGATAATACCTCCTGCCAAAATTTATTTTTACCATTTATTTAAATTATTTTACCATTTTGCAGTTAAGATTGCAATTGCATGGCTGTTCTTGGCTTTTAAAAAATGTGAAAGTTACTGCATAAACATTTTAAAACAAAAACAACTCATCATACAGAATAACACTTCAGGCCATTAAATTGTGCTGGTTCTGGTTTGGTCTGAACTTGTAATGAATTAACCCAAGATTTTTAAAAAATTACTAAATTGTAAGTATTTCATGGTGATGAAAAATGGGAAACAACAAGCTAATCTTTAAAGCTATTTCAGCTATCAATACTCATGTAACACTATGAAGAAATATATTATTTACTTGTCACAACTTAAAGAATGAAGTATATATATATAAGACCACTTATTATTATTATTATAAATTATATGCTTTTGGACATAATAAACAGTTAACATAAACATAAAGTCACTTAGGTCTAAATTTTTTTTATCTTTCAAATAAAACAACTATCTATTTGAGAAAAAAGTTAAGATATACTCAGTGTGACTTGGTATTGTGTTTGGAAGTGTCATACATGTTGGAATTAAAAATCCTAGAAATGAATAAGATAACTAAATTATCTCTTTAAAATTGTGAGAGCAGTTGCTTTTTTCCATTGGGATCAATATAAACATCAAAGCAAATAACTGTGTAAAGATATTTCTTGTAATAAATTTTTGCTTACAGTGAAATGATTTTAATTGGTTCAAGTCAACATATATAAACATACCAAAAGATTGTTAGTAAAATGTCTTGGGCTTGGAAAGGAAGGAGTTATTTCTATGTCAATGCTGCAACAAAATTTATTTCTTCCAAAATACAGTTAAATAATTATATCAGTTTTAGTAATATCATTATACATATGCCAACAACAAGGTACAATTCAAATTATATAAAAGAAAAATTCTGAAAATTTAAAGATTTCTGACTGATGAAAAATATTTCATGGAGAATTTTTAACCATATGTAAAATATATGGTAAATGTAAAACGTAATGGATAAATATAACAATGTATTAGTTATTCCAACCATAAAATTGTGAATGTGATTAAAGGCCCAAGAGATCAGCAAGATCCATAAAAGATAGAGAAACTGAAATTACGCATGTGAGCAAAAGATGGTAAAAGATAATTCCCAGGAGACTTTTGCAGAAATATAAGGATCCAAAGTAATTTTTTTTTAAATTTAAATTTGATTCCCGATTCTCAATATTTAAAATTATATTATATAATATATATTTGCATTGGAAAACTTACTATTTATTTTCCTTTTTTAATTTAAAAAAGTGAATTTTGCTAATTCAATAAGTGAACAAGACATTTCAATACTGTGTTGTATTTCTTACATTTGTATTTTTCAAGAGTAATAGTTTAAAAAAGATTTTCCAACTCCATTACATTTCAATGAATAACACAACACATCAAAGAAATCTGTTCTGTAGATGTAATATTTTAAACCCAAACTACAACAATAAAGACAATATTACCTATACCAGGCATTTAAACAATTGGATCTTACCACCATTGATTAACTTATTGATAATAATGCCAATTCTTTAACGATAAAATTTTTATTACCACCCATAAAAAGTTAAAATTATTATGAAAAGGTATTAAATTAGTATAGCAAAATCTTTTAATGGATAAATGCTTGATAGATTGTAAAGGTTTTTTAACATTGCAGTGAAGCTTTTTCAGTCATAATAACCATAAAAAAGTTTCATGTTTGGTTTGGGGATTTAACAAAATTAAAATAAGAGAAAAATCATTTCATTATTTATATAGTTTGATTCACGGATATTTAACAAAATCTTAATAATGTTTTATCTACTTTCTGCTGTACATTCAAGGGATATTTTAAGGTTTAGCTTTTAATAATCAAAAGATAAAAATGTGCGTCCAACACTTTTTCATAACAACTGTATGAGAAGAAGAGGTCTGCCTTGATAGCCACATTAAAAAAAACATGATTAAGTCAAAAAGGGCAATGAATTCACAGTCATTTTAAAGTAGCATTAAAAAAGATTGCAGCTACAACATGTTGATTCATTTTGTGAAACTTACCTGCAGTTTTTAGAAAGAATATGTGGAAACAGTGCCATTTCCTTGCTGCCAACTGGAAACCCATGTAATGGAGCAGCAATGCCATACCAAGTGCCATTTTTCATGAATGAGATGCTTGCTGGCCTTGAGTCCAAGTCTAGCATGGCACCAATGACATCACCCTCCCCAAAACGAACAGCATAATCAGTGAACCTATTGTTGGTTGAAAACTTGCCAGTTCCACCGTAACCAAAAGACCAAGGTTCTTCACCTGAAAAGGCATATTTCTATTGATAAGAATCATAAGATGGTTGTCTGTTCAAGTTATTACAAAGTAACAAAATATTCAGAATGAAAATGTGAAATTTTGTAATACATTTCTGAAAATATAACTTACTGGGTTAATTTTTTAAAATTTATCAAATAATCTTACCCAGCTGGAAAGATGAGCTATCAATGGACCACCCTACACGAATTATGTGAGGGTCAGTTTCATCATGGTCATCGCCAAAGTCTGTTGGTAGATGCTCAGTAATGTGGACTTCATAAAAAACCTGTTTATATAACAATTTATATATACCAGAATGCTATACACTTACTGTTTATTTAAGTCCAGCCGTTTACTTAGAATAATTTGTTTTTAAAGATATACTCCTTAACCTGATTTCTGAACTTTTAATGAACTAAAAAAAACAGCATTTGAAACAACCTTGTGTGAACTGACTGCTGATGATTCCACTTAGAGACATTATTTTGTATTTTTCATCCTTACTTTGTTGCATTTATAAGTAAACGCAAAACTTAATATTGTCTGCAAAAAATTTGAGTAATGGAAGTGTGTTTAAATCATTTATTTGATGAATGATAGTGGTAAAGAGATACATCTTTTTGCAGTGGTTAGTGACCATCAATGAATGATGAAAAAATAATATGTAAAATGTTATTTCAAGTCTCTTGTCATTTTTTTTTCTTTTTTCCCCTTTGCTACAAAAATCAAGGCTATGACTATAAGCTCTGTTGACAATAAAAAATTTTTTATAATGAGCCAAAATTTAACACTTAACTTCTGGGTATTGATTTATCAGCATGTCAAAATTATTTTGTTTACTTTGTTCTGTCTACTAAAAGTTATTAATTGTAATAACAAGTAATATAAAACCAAAATGTCCAAAGAAACAGAATTATGGGTTGTGGAAGTGGGTTGCATTATTTTATAAATTTCTTTAGAGTCGGATGCATAAGTATTAGGACATGTTGATAACCACTCTCCAAGACTGCGATTGAAGTATACTTCACATTATGATTGTATGCTTCACATTATGGGTTATTTGTTTGATGTTTTGATTTAAATTTCATTTCTATCTTAATTGATATGAAAATAAAGGTATGGGATTATTAGTTTATAGATATACATTATATAAATATCTGTCAGCAGTATTAATTGTTTAATGAAGCTAATTTAACGGTACACACAGAGAAGATCCCAGTTGACAAAGAATTTCCTTGCAAGTAAGAAATTAAAAAAATAAAGAACAAGTTAAGAAAGAATTTTGAATATTTTTTTTAAAGCATGTGTACAACTATAATATAAAAGTAATTATTACAAGTTCCTTACCTTCCCTCGACAGACTCCATAAGTAGCCCTAGCACCAGCCCATGTGAAACAAAATCCAGAGGGATTGTTTAGCACAGTTCCACCATATCTAAAAATAAAATAATATTTAAAATGAAGAGATTCTGAATACATAGTCTAATGGCTGTTTTAAATAATGTGTATTTTAACTAGCAATTATCACAACTTACCCATCTTGGTCTATAACTAGATTAAGGTCTGAATTAAAGTGATCCAACACAACCAGCGATTCATCCAAATTCAATTCATCAAGATCTAATTCAGGATCTGCTTGCCAACGATTACCTGTCTGACCCTGTCTGCTGCAAAAGAAATCAACTAAGTATCACAAAAATCAATTTAACACCTACTTGCAATCATTAAATAAATTATTTTACTTTCATAAATAGTAATAAGAATAACAAAGTTTCTTAAAATAACCAAAATAATAATATTTTGGCAATAAAAAATAGTAGTGAATATTTGAAAAATGAGAATGTACCCTTTCTCTTCCTCTTTCTTTCTGAATTCACTGACAGTCCCAGTTACCAGTTGTTGAGGTGATGGTGAAGCTTGTTGGAGTTGAAATTGGTGAAGCTGTTGTGACTGATGTTGAGACTGAGCTTGTTGCATTTGGTGATGATGCTGTTGATGTTGAGTGAACAATCCAGATGGCAAAGGTGAGGTGGCAGTCAGCTGTGTAAGGGCTCCATAGGGTGAAGCTAAACCACCTGGCATGGCTTGATGTAGAGCAGACATTCCCCCTCCCATAGCAGAAACAACTGGACCTCCAACTCCAGTCATATGTGGAGGAAGTCCAGAAATACTGACCATTCCCTGGTGACCCATCCCTAATGCCCCAAATGCTGCAGCAGATGTGACAACTGGAGATGTCATAACAGGCGCTCCAGCAGCGTGTGATGCAGCAGCAGCTTGAGCTGCCATTTGTTGATGATGCAGCACAGCTGGTTGCAGTGCCCCATGTGGGTGATGTCCAGAAATTCCAGGTGGAAGCTGCATAGCACCAGGCATAACCATGTATTGCTGGGGCATCATCATAGGCACAAGGCCAGCTGGATACTGATTCATTTTATTGTTTTAGATAATTGACGAATTTAATCTTAATGGTTGTCTATTCATTACTAATATTATTCACTTTTCATGTCCTTAAACACCCTGTAATAAAATGAAATCAGATATGATAGTTATGACGCTCTAATTTAAAACAAAAATTTCATTAAATCTAAACAATGTTCCTTTATAAAAATAATGATAACATTTTTTGATACACCAATTAATTTTAGGGATTATTTTTTTAATACAATTCTGTTAGCAAAATATTTGCTCAAGTATCCAATATAAGTATCAGAACAAATTAACCAAATCATAAGAAAATTGTGTTCCAATTTGTAGTAATTTAACAAGCAAAGCTAGACATCTATACTACATCACATGGTTAAATCATTTTTTATATCAGCACTATGTGATATTATGTTACTAATTTACATTTAAGTTTAAGCCTTCTGATAAGCTTGCAAAAATATAATCGATTAATAAGACACAAACAAATTGTGTCAATATAACAATATAAGTTACGCTTTAATAATAATTATACATTATACACAAGTGAATGTTTTGTTATTAATTTATTCTCCATATAGATTCTATCTGTAGTGTTACTAGTATAGAGTATACCAGTAACGGCGATGTCTAAGATACCATCATGGTTAGGGCTATTGAAATGTTTGAAGACCGGACAGAGAGCTTGTTTATTTATGTCATAGAGGTGTTCTCTGAACCGGTCTCCAAGGCGACGACCTGTCTCTCCTATGTAAATTTACCGCACTTTTTGTAAATGATGGTGTAAATCACGTTGCGACTTGTGCAGGTAAAGCCATCTTTTATTCTGAATATTGCCAGAGGGAATCTATATGGAGTATAAATTAATAACAAAATTTGGCACATTGTCTCCATATGGAATATACCAAATCCACAATTTTACCTAGCTGCCATGGCTTTTTTCCTGTTTGGTTTTTACAATTATGTTCAAATCACTTCCTTTTCACTCCTTTTTGCTTTGTTTTTGTCTGGTTTTAGCGCCCTCTCCTATTTTATTTTTTAGGTAGGATATGCATATTTATATTATGTAAATTTAATTTATACTTATTTAAATGTTTTTTTGTTTGTACTGATGAAGGCATGTGCCAAAAACGTTTGTGTATAATGTATAATTATTATTAAAGTGTATTTTATTCATTTTTTTTTTAAATCGAAGTAGATACTTTTATTTGTATGGCAAACAGACAATATTTAAATTGTACGTGTTGACACTTCTGTAAAGCAAAGGATACTACTTCAAAATTTGTATGGGAAATGGGCTTCAGTGCAGAAAAATACAAGTTTTCAATTTTTTAACGTTGGTGATTTTCCATTAATAAAATTATTAATATTGTCATACAATTGGGGTATCCTTCCACATGTCCACATTAGGAGACATTATGACCTACATTCCAACGTACTGTTTTGCCTTTTTTGATCGACCTTAGTTTTAGAAATTGATAGGTATATATTTGGCATCTTTCCCTCAAAAATTTTTGAATAAATTTAAAGATCATGTCTTTCATATTAAATTCTATAAAGATCATATATCGCGTCATGCGCAATGACTATATACTTTATATAAGGCAACCCATCGCCTTATCACTAAAATACTGTTTAGGGTCGACTTAGTTTAAACTTTCAACTTTGGCACATGAATAATTAATTAAAGCTTTCCCTGACCAATGGTATAGTAGTTTTTGCACACGGCAAACTCTTATGAATGAAACTCTGAGGTACAGCTAGAGGCCGACCGAATTTCGGCTTCGGCGCCGAAAGTGGCCATTTCTCACTTTCGGCCAAGTTTCGGTTTCGGCCAAAACTGAAAAGTCAACTTTCGGCTTAATTTCAGTTTCGGCCGAAAGAGAAAAGTCAACTTTCGGTTTTTCTTCGGTTTCGGCCGAAATTGACTTAGACTTTCGGCCATCCGGCCGAAAGTGACTCAGGTTTTTGGTCATCTAATACTCAGTGAAAGCGATATTTAACAACAAACTAAGCGACATTTAAGAACAAACTAAACGATCTTTAAAACAAACTAAGCGATCTTTAAGAACATTTAAGCGATCTTTAATAACAAACTAAACGACCTTAAAGAACAAAATAAACGATTTTTAAGACCGAACTAAATTATCTTTAAGAACAAAACAAATGATCTTTAATAGTAAACTAAATGATTTATAAGAATTAACTAAGCGATCTTTAACAGAAAACTAAATGCTCTTTAGGAACAAACTAAAAGATCTTTAAGAACAAACTAATTGATCTTAAGGAAAAAATCAATTATCTTTAACAACAAACTATGGGATCTTTATGAACAAACTAAGCGATCTTTAACAACAAACTAATCGATCTTTAACAACAAACTAAGCAATTTTTATGAACTAACTAAACGATCTTTAAGAACAAATAAAGCGATCATTAACAAAAACTGGACGATCTTTAACAACAAACTAAGCGATCTTTAAGAAAAAACTAAAGGATCTTTAACAATAAACTAGGCGATCTTTATGAACAAACTAACCAATCTTTAAGTAAAATAAAGCGATCATTAACAAAAACTGGACGAACTTTAACAAAAAACTAAGCGATCTTTAAGAACAAACTCACGATCTTTAAGAACAAACTAACCGATCAATAGCAAGCAACTAACGATCTTTAACAAAAAACTAAACCATCTTTAAAAACAAATAAAGCGACCTTTCAGAACCAATTAAGCGATCTTTTAGAACCATATCAGAACAACAATTTTTAGAGACCCGGTTTAAAAAAATAATATTTTTCATTAATTTGCCCCCCCCCCATTTTTGTGGCCAAATTTTCTCTTACCATACTAATTAAAAAAATTGTAAAGCAATTTAAATTACTTTTATATTAAAATGGTAAAATCCAAAGTATTCATTAGATCAAGGGTCTCAAACTCAAATCATCAGGGGGGCCGCAGGAGTTAGTGTCTGAATGAGAGTGGGCCGCATCAAGTAATCCACAAAAAAGCGATTACAACTGTTACAATTGCTCAACCTTTATAAATAACAATAAAATCACTAAGGGTTCTCAAGAACTAGGATTCACTTTCATCCACCTACTCACTGTTGTATACAAAAATATATAGAAACATTTTTAAAAAAAATCAGAATTAGACTAGTCGGTGAGATTCGACTGAAACCGTCGCGGAGAGTCGCGTTATAGATATGAGAATGGGGGAAACGGGCCGGCGCATTAACACTAAACTTTTCTGTCATGTAGCGGGCCGCAAAATATCGTCTTGCGGGTCACAAATGAGTTTGCGGGCCGCGAGTTTGAGACCCCTATAATAGAAGTTTATGTATTAATATTCACGATTATCTCATTTTTTATAAAAAGAATGTAAATATTTATACTTTCCCACATCATTTTCGATGTATGCGGAATGTATGCGGGAACGAATTTCAAAATATCTTAATATTTCATTTTCGGTTTCGGTTTCGGACGAAATTCATATTTAACTTTCGGCCTTTTTTCGGTTTCGGCCGAAAGTCATTTTTAAACTTTCGGCATTTTTTCGGTTTCGGCCGAAAGTCATTTTAATCTTTCGGCCTATTTTCGGCTTCGGCCGAAATAAAAAAATCACTTTCGGTCGGCCTCTAGATACAGCCACTATGCAAGTGGCTGTGAATGGTTGCCAATGACGTGTTGCACACCGTAAATTCTGATCATTTATAATATGGACTGTACCGGCTTAAACATTCCAGTTTAAATGTCTTCAAAATGCATTCTGAAACACAAGTTATCGAATATTTTGATGTAAATAGTGGTAATAAATTAATATTTCCTAAGTATCTGCAACTTCCGCCATTAAAAAGGGGGCGTGACCCACACCAGGGCGAAATTAGGTTGAGCGAACTGCATGACCTGGTGCGATGGCGTAGAAACATGGCGTCTACCGTAAGACACTTATCGCTGTGAAAATTAGCATACATGTAGATCAATACATTCCCCAGATGCAAAAAAAATTTGGTAGTGACAAATCTTTTACTTCGACTTAATTTTAATGATGAAAGTTGCCTTATATTTACCAAGGATTTTCTCAAAGCTGACTGTAAATGAAAAAGAAATTGATTAAAATGTAGGCCAAGATGTCTACCTAATTATAAGGCCGAAAACGGAACTCAAATATCGAAAGTACTAATTTAAATTTAATAATAAATAGACACACACATCGGAAAATAAAAAACTCGGATTTTTCGGCGCCGATTTCTATTTCCATACACAAAAAGTAGTAGTCTCCCTTGTTTCGAAGTTAGAAATCAAATAAAGAAAAAAAAGCGCTGTATGATTCAGTATTAGTTAGTTGAGAAACTTATTTTTAAAGTTTAATGTAGAGCTAAAGAAGAGTATACATTCAACATTGAAATGGCAATAACGATATAACTGAAACATAATCTTCACTTTTCTTTCGCCAAATTTCGGCTTCGGTGTCAGAGCGAGAATTGACGTTCACTTGTCCGTGGTAAAAAAACGTGCCTTAAAAAAAAATTATAGTGCTTTCCGTATCGATCTGTTTTCAGAAACATAACTTAGTGCAAAAAACAGGCATACTCAACAAATGTGTCCTTCGTGACTAACACTAACCTGTAAGTATTATTTGTAAAATGCAGCTAACTTAATTTTGTCGGCCATCTTAAAATTTCATGAATGTATTTCACCAACGCATTTTCCAGAGATTTTTTACAAAGAATATCGACTATTTTAGCCTATGCGAGTAAAAAAGTTCAGGTTAACTAGCGTATTAAGAGAATTCTAGATAATAAAATAAATTTGAAATTATTCATTCAACAAACCTATTTGATAAGACTTAGGCTTAATAAAAGTGCTATTATATTATGTTTTTATTTCCAAGTTAGTAATTTTAACCCTAAATAGCAAGGGATTCAGTTGATTCACATTATCATTCCCATTCATAAAAGATTGATACGATTTTGTAAGTCACAACTCCACGAACGCATTTCATTATGATTCTCTCTAAAACTACCGAGAACCATATATTATTCAATCTTATAAGATTTATTATACACCAACTTAATCGTGATTTATACTGCCTCCTTTCTACCAACAGAAAGAAGAATCTTAATGACCTTAAACTCAACCCCATGCATCCCTCAAAATCTCCATCTATCTGATGACGAAAGATTTATCCTCTCTCATGCCTCAAATGCATTTCTCTCCAGTCTTCCAGTGAATCAGTGAACGTTTTTAATTAATTTCTGAATGCCATCACTATTTTCGCTCCATGCGACGACATTACCATTTTTTTATTTTTTTATTTTTTTTTTGGTAAAGACAACAGTGTTTCTTTCAGAAAATTTCCTTCGGGGGTGCAGGGCACATTTCAGATTTTCGTGTGGGCAGTGCCAGTGTCAGTGGCCAGAGGCGTAGCTAGGTGATGGCAGAGGGGCACAGAGTCAGGGAAATTGATTTGAGAGGGGTTGGGGGCAGAAATTGAGGCTCTTAAACAAATGCGGTGGCAGGGGTCCCCTTAAAAAAATTTTGATAAATTTAAAATGCAGGGATGAATTTTTGTGCATACTTGAATTCAGTTTGGGAGGGGTGATTTCAGACTTTCTTGTGGGAAGTGCCACCATTAATTTTAATAACGAACGGAGGACATCTCTAACTATGCCCCAGCCCGATATGAACTAAATTCATACCAGTTGTGGCACCCTTAAGGGTATGTCTTAAATCTTTAAAGTACCCAAAGTTTTTTGGATAAATTCGAAGAGCAAGAATGCATTTTAGCACACACCTGAATTTTGTTTTGCTTCATTTTACACTAAATTGAAGAGCAACGCTAGAGAATCTAGTTTAAATTTAGGTTTTACTTGACCCGGAGCTATCGTGTGTGCCCTGCAACTTCTAAGACTGCAAAAGAGGGGGGGGGTGGCTTTAAAATTGTGATTTGGACACTTTTATAAGGTCATCAACATTGAATGCAAAGTTGGGGGGGGGGGTGGAGGGGAGACCGAAAAGTGGCAGCGAACATAAAAAAATCATCACGCGACGGCTCTGCTTAATCTGATTGTGATGTAGGCCTGTACATATTTTTTATTACTAAATAGTTATGCTGTTTTTAATTTGTATTTAAACTGTTTTTGGGGTAAACTACTTAATTAATAAATATATTTAAAACACACACACACAAAATTGTTTCACTAAAGGTTTCCAATAAAAAAAAAAGTAATGTTAACATTATTTTACATGTTGAAATAAATTGAAGAAGAAAAAAAAGGGCAATAATTACTTTTACCTTTTCTAAATATTTTTAAGTTTTACCGGTGTAAAAAAAAAGAAAATGTATTTATAATAATTTGTAGAAAAGTCTATATATGTTTATGGGTTTTTAAAACTGGTTAATATATAAATCGTATATGAATGGCATAATTATATTATGAAGACATGAGATGTTTTCAAAGACATCATATATTTAGCAATATGTGATTTTATTTGAGTATAAATATAAACATAGAGTATAAATTGCCAAAAATTCGGTTGATTGAAATGTTTATTTCGAAATTCACACTAACTTTAACTAACTTTCTGCAGATCAATTACAAATTGCCTCTTCAATATACTCAAGCATATTTTTAAAATCAAATCCATACAACGTATATATTTAAATTGACGATTTAGAAAAATAATTTTATCTATAACTGGCATCATTTTTTAAATGGAATCGGCATATATATTCGATTATCAGGCCAATTCCATAAAAAATGATACTACCATTTTTGTCCACCTTCCATCCCGCTTCACGTGGTAGCGCTAATTCTAAGACTCCCATCTTCACATTTCGACATAAATTCTTTCGACTGTCAATGTCACTACACCGATTTTCTCCTCTTCCATCGCGCCCTGTAACTTGATCAGAGGCCATTTTTACGACATCGCATAGGCCTACCTGTCATACGGGTTGCAATCCGGGATCCCGATTCTCGAAAATACCGGACTATAACGGATGCTCGGAAAAACCGGGATTGAATTTAGGAAAACCGGGATTTTCGAAATTCCCGGGATTTCATTTTCAACAAATATTTATAAATTTTCTTAGTTTCCATGTCGAAGTTAAAGCAAGATATATCAATAATTTATGTGATGTGCAAAGTGCGACCCCCTCACACGACATGTCTCAAGTTCAAAGAGAGCCAACCGACGGACCAGACGTGCGTGTGTTGTGTGTAAGTGCAGACGAGTGGCGACGCGAAGGTACAGGATTGATAAGTCAATGTCTTCATATTATTGACAAATAAGTAATTATTATTGGTATAGTCGAATGAAGATCGAATGTTGACTTCCATTAAGAGTTTGTTTGTAACATGAATTATATGAGGAAATAATTACACGTTGCACTCGAATCACGGGGTCAAATGTATTATTAACAGAAATGTTTGATTGCTTGATTTCTTTTAATTATGCCAAAAAGACCACATATTTAAAAATATTAGTAAACCTGTATTTTAATCATCAAATACCTTAAGTTTAAGACACATAAAAAATATATTTATCTATTCTATTTTTTTATAACAATATTAATAATTTATATTCAGCTCATAATTGATTTTCGAGCTATTTGTCCCAGGCTGAATGTTCCAGCTTGTTTATACCGTACCTAGCCAAACGTTGACATGACTGAATGTCCCAGTGTGTCTGTACCGTACTTAGCCAAACATTTACATGAACATTTTTAAAAAAAAGAAATTTTTAATGTTACTCACGTCAAACCAATTCAATTTAATTAATAAATTTTTGTTAATGATTTATTTTCCCGTCAGGTTGGTAGAAAGAAAATAGGGAACCCTGAAAAAATGAACCTAAATAAGAAAATCATATGAAACTATTGGAAATAAAGACACCAGTTGAAATGGTATTATTTCTTGAAAGCTACGGACAATCTCTCAGCTAAATGCATTAGATGTTACAAGATACTTAAAGGTACATTGGGAGGTACAACTTCAGGCCTTCACACTCATTTAAAGTTTGCACATTCCCCTGACTACTTGGACGTATTTCTAAGGCCAAAGTGCGACCAGATGCGAAAACATATCGTGGATTTTTTTAAAGCTTAGTAAGACAACGGATTCCGATTCCTCGTTGGAAATATCTATGAACAAGGAAATTGAACATCTTGGATCTGAGCATGACAAATTTGAAGATACGCCGCCGCTTAAGAGACAGTTAGAAGTTGAAATACAAAAGAAACTTCAGGCTCAGGATAATACTTCCAGACAAACTGATGGAGACATTGATACATCCGCTTTTGTTTTGTCTTAGATAGACAGAAAGCATCATCCGCTTTTATGTCTTTGATAGACAGAAAGGAAAGTCAAAATATTTATTACTTACTAATTGATTAAATTATCAATGATGTCATCTTCAGTTAAATACTCGTCAACTTTTCTCAGCAAAGCTGCCAATCAACGTTTTCCTCTTAGAACAAAAGTGCATTTAATTTAATTGTTAAAAGAAATTTTTGGGATGTTTTTGAGAGGGACAGTTTGGGTGTCTCTGTAATTTAGTGTCATTAAGTGCAATTCTTCACTATAATATCCCGCTTTTAATATGACGTCATATTGCTTAAGCCCCCACCCTCGTCACACATCGTCATAAAAATGTGACCCCCCTCCCCCACCACTCTTCCCCTCCTAGACGCAACACAGTGCAGTTATAAACAATCATCAGCTAGGGGCTGTTAGAATAGCAACATCATATCCCCAACTGTTGCAAAGATGCCAGTTCATGGATGCAGCATCGAAACATTACCAGAACCAGGCGCATGATGGGTGAAAGGCAACAGCAATACTACTCTTTTTAAAACTGCTGTAAAATGACAATTTCAATGTTTACTATTAAATAACTTTTCGTTTTAATGTTGTACACATTTCACTCGGCGAGGGGGTGGGGGGAAACACCTGAAATAAACACGGGAGAGCACCTCAAAAGAGGATGATAATCAATGATTCCCTTTTCATAGACGACTAATGTAAAAGATCACTTTCACACCACCCTCCGATCAATCTGAAACCTTAGATCTATAATAGATCTATAATAGATCTATAGGGTGTCAAGTATGGGAGTTCATTGATAATTGTTGCGACTGAATATTTTGTTCATTACACGCGTTGTGTGTTTGAGAGTTTTAATATTTAGTGAACGCTCTTCCCGCGCTTGACTTTGGCGTATTTTTATGCTGACTGTGACAGTATTGTCTAGACTGTATTGTGACGTAAGTTTTAGTCGTGCGCCTGTCGTGAATGGAACTTTGTGGAAGTAGGATGTGTATTATTTATGTCTGGTAGCGAGCTGCATTATATGCATGCGTTAATGTGTACAGTATTTGCTTAGATATTAAAGTTATAATTATTATGAAGAGTTTATTAAATATAGGTACGGCGTATTTCAACGTGTGAAAGAACTTAAAGAATTAGCCAATCCAGTAGAACATAGGAGTTGACATATGGCCTAGGGTTAATAAAATAATTCTTAACAGTACCCTTAAATAATGATGATAATGTTGCAAACACGCTTCCGGTCTAGTATAAACATTGTCAAGACTCGCATCTTCCCAGGATCTGACAGTGACACTGGAAGTGACCACGACCTAGTCATGATGAACTTTAGGCTGCACTTAAAGAGGGTAAATAAACAGGGATACAACAGAATCAAAGTCGACCTTGGAATGCTGAAGGATCCTTAAGTAGCAGACGCCTTCCAAGCATTGATAGGAAGAAAATTTGCAGCGCTTAACATTATAGATGCCGACTGTTCAGACATGGACACACTGATGGATAACTTCAACACAGCCGTGACGGACACTGCTCATGATCAGAGCCGGCCTTTAGGATGTGCGACCTGTGCCCTCGCACAGGGCACCGTGGCCATAATGCTTCACTTTGCCTCGGTGTAACACAGTGCAGTATAAACAATCATTCTTCCCACGCACAATAATTGCTTGGAACCACCTGGACAATGCCGCTGTGGACTCGACATCGGTCGAAAGTTTCTAGGCTGCCCTGGCATCTGCTAGGAACTGTTAGACGAGCAACATCGTTTCCCCCAACGGTTGCACAGATGCCAGTATATGGATGCAGCAACGAACACTACCAGAACCAGAAGGGCGCCTGGGTCGCCCAGTAAATATTTAAATCCCCTTAGTTTATTATCGTGAAATTTGAACCTCGGGTCCGGGGTCGAGAAACGGTATTATTATAACTTTTCGTACAATCGTTTTTCATACAATGAGTTTTCATATAATGAAAGTTGCATTCTTAATTTGAATACTACACTCGAGTTAGTGGAAAGGGAGTGGAAATTAATTAATTAATACCGTATTTCCTGTGTCCCTCCTTCAATTATTTCAGTAGAAGGAATAATGGGAACAAAAAGCTTTCCGGCGCGCAAAATCGCAAGGCAAGCGCAACTCAGAAAAAATACGTCATAATCGGAAAAAGAACGGAGCCATACAGGGACAGCGAAGGGGGCACCGAACGGGTGCTTCGCACAGGGTGAAAGTTTACCTGATGCTTAACTTTGGCGCCCCTTATACTTATATGTATAATAATTAGAGGAAAAAGCTAGTTATTCGGTAATGAGTTTATTACCTATGTTCTTGTTTTATTTAAAAGAGAACATTTACTAAGATACCCCCCCTCCCACTATTTTTCCACCAGGCGATCATTTTTCGTTCCATCCCACTTCACTGGTAGTCAATAGTTTAAAAATATTTTATTTTCGATTAGGCCTAATTAATAACACTAATTTATGATCATGTTAAGATTCAAATCATTAAGAGAACTAACGGTATTAACAACAACAAATATTTCAAAAATTACAAATATTACAAAATATTTTGTTAATAATGTATCATATATTCTATGGTATTACAGTATGGAATCAAACTGTGTAAGTTTGCGCTACAGATAATTTTTAACAAAATATTTTAAAATGTTTATCTTTATTTTGTTCTTTAGGTTGAAAGTTCATAGGACAAATCTGTTTACAAAGAGATCTGGCCTGATGAAAATCAGATAAAATATCATTAATAATGGATACAATTTCTTCACTGAAACTTGTCTCAGCGCAGAATATTGCAAATATATTAGATTATTCGTCTCTTATTGCAGCTATTGAAAAGAGTTTAGCGAATTTCTCACATCGGACCGATTCAGGTGTAAATCAACCAGTTAGAAGTGTTGTAATTGTACCAAATTCTGATGGGTAGGTTTATTAACCCTCTTGTACGGAGTACGGAGCCTTTTCGGGGTGTATGTGCCAAAAAGACGGAGCACTTTTTACGAGCTCGGCAAGCGCATTGCAAATTTTTTTTATAACAAATAAAATATTTCCCTAATAACCTATAATATATGTAAAACTAATTCTATATATATTCTTGTAGGAAATTGAATGAACAAATACAATCTTTATCTATCAAACTGAAATATCAACATTTATTATGCAAATGAGCTACCCTGATTTGCATAATTTATGCTTGTACTTGTAATTTTTTGTTAAGTTAAACCTAGAATAAACATGAATTACTTGTATCAGTTGTGTGAATTTTTGTATGGATGAAGCCTGAACAAGTCCTAAAACTTATGTTTTTGGGAAACAAAGCCCATGGAGGCCCTTCAGTCTTCAGATACATCTGGCACATGTCTCTACTCCTTCTCCAACCGCCCTCCCCCCTCTATTTCAATTGTTACAGACACTCACTGTAACAGGCCCCCATTTATGACCAAGGGACCTTCTCTTAAGCTGGATGTTACTGAGAAGTTGTTTGCATATCTATTGGTCTCTCTCATAAACATTTGAGTGATATTTAGTGTAGAAAATAGCATTAAGTACTCAAATGGGGTGCTTATGTCTTATTTGTAGCACCTATGTTGTCTAAAAATTCAGTGGGGTCATCTCTGTCCAGTTGAGGACCCCTAATACACCACATTAGCAGACATGTTCAAATTTCACGATATAACTATACAGACACAAAATAATTCATGCACAAAAATAAATTTAGTTCACCATCAACGAACACAGCCATTAAAATGCCGGGAGTTGCAGGAATACGTAAGAATAAATTTGATTTGCTGGTAAAATGCCAGCCAATCACAAGGCTCGATTTATGGGGCCCATGGTTCGGACTTTTGTTTTTCTCGCTAGTCCACCTTGGGCCGATAGATCGGCCCTTACGCCCCAAGAAGGTTAAAAATTCGAACTGGCTATTCGCACCCGGGTAACAGAAGTGAGAGGTTGGGATAAAAAACTATTTAAAATATTATTGTTGGGTTTGTAAGACAAAATGAGGTAACAAATAAAGGATAATTGAATGGACTATATGTTTGCAAACTTACTTCTTCAGTTTAACTAAAGTAAACTACCATAAATGACATTCGAATAGCATTTAGTCAAAATGGCCCTGGACACGCAGTGCCTCCATTCACACCAGAGTCCCATTAGACCAATGCTATTTAGATGTCATTGTTTTTGTTGTTCTTTCCTGTAAATAGATTTTTAGGTTGTATGCCAGTCTACAGCAGAGAAGATGATGTTTTAGCTACAAAGATTGTTTCATTTTTCCCACGCAACAAAGATGTTCCTACACACCATGCTGTTGTATTGGTTTTGTGTGCTCAGACTGGAGTTCCAAGAGCTGTAAGTGTCCTTGTTGAACTCACTCCTAGGCTTACCACACTAAAATTTCAATACATTTTCCACCTAGTCTATTAACATTCTTTTAGATTTTTCGCAGATTAGTTTCTCTGGACCAAATACATTTTTTTCCACTAGTTACTGGATGGTGATGTCATAACTGCCAGAAGGACAGCAGCAACTTCGGTTGTAGCCACCAAGGTTTGTAAATTTAAACATACTTTTGTGAATATATAGTTATCATTTGCATATATTTATGAAATAGTTTCTTTATTTAGCTTTAGAAAAATGTATTCTACAGTGATACCTTGGAATCCAAACTCCCATAACTAGAACAACTTGGAATCCAAAAACCTAGAGCTTGAACAACTTGGAATCTAAACACCCAGAACTAAAACAACTTGGAATCCAAAAACCTAGAACTTAGGAGACTTGGAATCTAAACACCCAAAACATGGGCGCCTGCAGAAAACTTTCTAGTGGGGGGGCAAAAATTCGATTAACTTTCCAGGGGGGGGGCCAAACATTTTTTAGTAATGTTTTAATGTAGTTTTAATTTACTGTAGCGTATTTGTATGGTGAACGAACGGACATCAGCTTAGTTACTTTCTCTTTATTTTCTCTTTACTTTAATACATTTTTTGTCCATTTTTGTCTAAAAAATTTTTATCCACTCAATCCAAAACTAAAACAACTTGGAATCCAAACACCCAGAACTTGAACAACTTGGAATCCAAACACCCAGAAATTGAACAACATGGAATCTGAACATAAAATTTTAGAAAAGTTTTGCCCAAAATCCTAACACTGCTTGGAATCCAAATTCTCACACAATGATTTAGTGAAAGGCATGCCTAATGGTGATAAGTAATAGTTTAATTAAAAACAGTAGAGGTCGGTTCAAGACTTTTAGAAAAGCATTAGGGTCCATAGTGCTGTTAAACACAGAGAAGCTGTCTGTTATAATTCGGAAGCAGCAGAAAAAATTTTAATGAAGTTTCAGGAGTGATGAGTATGTCTATGTTTTGAACCAAGTGTTCCACTGTGACTCTTTTGGAAAAAGATACTCAGGCGAACGTGGATCTCAAAGTAAGAAATGTCTGGACCATGGTATAAGCCAATGAAAGGCCGCCTTACTTTCTTGTTGAATGGTAATGATAGTTGGGCTGCAAGATCGACGTCTCCTTGTTTAATTATTCAGAGAACTCATGGTTTTTAAAGAAGAAAGACATCATCAAGACCAAGCTTAATGTTATGTGAAGATAAAATTTGATCATCATAAGTCAGATTCAGTAGCCTCTTCGGCATGTGCCTTTTAGCCCAAAGAGATTAAATGTGATAATCATCATTCATATCCAGTAGCCCCTTGGGCATGTGCCTTTTAGCCCAAAGAGATTAAATGTGATAATCATCATTCAGATCCAGTAGCCTCTAGGGCATGTGCCTTGTAGCCCAAATACATATATAGATACACAAGGAGTTTTCTCCTTCAGTAAAGGCTTATCTGCAGGAGAAAATCTCCAGATGAAGGCTTACTTCCCCAGGATGGTTAAATTTTTATTCAAATACTGTATTATTATTTGTTAATATTTACCTTAAAATCCAATGTATTTACTGTTGAAATCATTTAGAAAATTTGAGTTTGTGGGACACAGAAAAGGATTAATCCAGTTTCCATTATTTTAAAGAGGAAAAATTGTCTTGGTTCTCAAATGTCTTGGATCTTAAATGTCTTGGATCTTAAATGTCTTGGATCTCAAATGTCTTGGATCACAAATGTCTTGGATCTTAAATTTCTTGGATCACAAATGTCTTGGATTTCAAATGTCTTGGATAACAAATGTCTTGGATCTTAAATGTCTTGGATCACAAATGGGTTTCTGGAATAAGATTCCAAGGTATCACCATATTTACTTTTCATTGTAGCTTGGGATGGACTGAATATTCCATTTGGTGCAAAAATGCTCATCCATTTTAATATTTTTATGTCCCTGACAGTAAGTAGGAATCCCATACATAATAGTTCATTCTGAATTATGGCCGACAATTTTTAGCTAATTGTGTATGTTTAAATGAGCTTTGAACTTAATTTAAAAACTTATAAATCAGAAGTTATTTGAATCAAATAGTTAAATGATTTTTGCAAAAAATTTTATAGCTAATCTTTAAAAAAATCTTATGTTTATTTTTAATGTTTTTATTTAATAATGAAAATATAATTGGATGAGTACTAGATTTCTAGTCTATTTATCACAGTCATTGTACATATATTGTAAAAACTGTAATGATTAGAACTTTAGTTTATATTTTCTCAAGCATTTAGTAAATGGTGAACCAAAGATACTGGCTATATTGGGATCCGGTGTTCAGGCCAGATCTCATTACATAGCACTGTCAGAGGTCTTTCATTTTAAACAGGTAACCAAACTTATTTAATTCCTAGTTCTTGGGTTCCAATCATTAAAAATTTGCTGAAGATAGCACCATCATTGACTGAAAGAGGAAAGTTTATACTGCAACTTAATTACAAGCTTTATCAGTGGGTGAGATGAATATTTTCTTCAGTTGAATGTCTTAAAATGGAAGAAATGGTTGTCAACTCCCGGAGGAGGAGTCACCCAATTTCAGATCTCGCAATAAATAATCGAAGGACAGAGCAAGTAGAAACTCATAAGTAGCCAGGTGCCACCATTAATAATTAGCTGACATTGCATCAACACCACCAAATTCTGTGTTGAAAAATCAATCAAAGACTTTCTCTCTTTAAAAAAAAAAAGTAAAATTTTGGGGTAAACAAACAAGATATTAACATATTCTACAGTGCAACAATTGGAAACCTACTTAACTTCAGTATTACCTGCTGGTGTGGGAATTGATCATCTGACATCACACAATGATTAAATAGACTAATAAAAAAAGCTAATAATATACTCAAACTAAACATCCTTCACTTGAAAAACTATTTGAAGAAAAATTCTGTTGTAAAACTAAAAATAAATTTTGGATAATACAGCCCACCTTCTTAATCACAGATACTTAGGATCAGCTCGATCTGGGGGAATTATTTCGCTTAAAGTTAAGACAGAAAGATATAAAAATTCTTTTGTTCCCTAGTCTGTAAGAATTTACCAGTGTGCTTCCCCAGTGGATATCAAATCTAAGTGATCACTAATTAATTCATTATTGTCACTAAGGGAGTTAATTATTTTTGTTGGTATATGATGGCTGATTTTTACAGAAGAGAAATACTTAAGATGTCTTGTGTTTAAATTGTTCTGATTGTAAAATGTTGTCTGCGTCAAAATATGTATTTATTTAAGTGCTGAAAATGATTATGTGCAAAGTAATATAAAAAACATTTCCATCTATTTTAATAAAGAAAAGAATCTTATCTTCTCTTAATTATTATTTTTACCAACCAAAGTATGGGAAATGATTACACTGACTTAAAATGATTCTTACTGTTGGTGAAAGGCAAAATAGTACACATCTGTAGAAATGTTATATCAGACAAAAGTTATTTCCACTCTTCAAATACTTTTATTCTACTACTAATTATATAAGATTGAAAACTTAACACTCTGAAAAATTATAGTTGTACATTTTCTTTTTCTAATAATCCTGAGATTTGCATATGGAACCATAGACCAGAAGGTGCTCATAAGTTAGCAGATGAAATTGGCAATAATTGTGTTGCTTGCTCTAAAGTCTCAGAGGCTGTGGAAGATGCTGATGTCATAGTTACCGTGACAAGTGCTAAAGATCCCATCCTTAAGGCTGCGTGGGTCAAACCCGGAGTTCATATAAATGGTAAGACTTTTGACACATTCCATAGGAACAAATGGCTTCAGAAAAATCAATTCATAAAACCTTTAAAATATTACAATTTGCAACTTTGACACTAAAAGTTGTCAATTAGACAGAGAGAAATCTATGTACAAAATGGTATAGACTAATGATGAAATTATGGTGTCTGGTGTTTGTAATAAAAACGGGTAGTGGTGGATTCAAATAGAAAGTGGAAACATTAAAGAGATTATATCACACGTCACTTATTTTACAATTTGTTTCATCACTGTAATTTTTGTGTGTTGCTTTTACTATGCGATTTAATATGTTAAAGAGCTTTTCAATAGTGCAGACCTGTTTACCCTCAAACTCTTAAAATCGTACAATAACATCACAAAGTCGTTCAATACATTATCTTAATAGTAAAAACATAAATATACAGTATATACATTGTACGCCAGAATCATAAGAGTAAACAGGTCTGATAGTGCAATTAATTGTAATTTGAATATATAATCTTCAGTCCAGTCAATGGCACCACCCCCCCACCCCCCCTTTTTTTTTCTGAGAGAAAATTTTAAAGAAAAGTAATTAATTTATCATGAATAAATAATACTTTTTTTCCCCATTATACTTCTATTTTAGTGATCCACTATTGTTAAAGTATTTATTGTTAACAAGAACAAGTTTCCAAGAATTTCAAATATTTATTACACCAGCTGTTGGTGCATGTCGACCCGATTGGTCAGAGCTTGAGCCGGAGCTTGTGAACTCGGCTGTTGTTTATGTAGACAGTCGGGAGGGTGCCCTCAAAGAAAGCGGGGATATTATTTTAGCAAAGGTGAAAAAGGTTCTGTTTCATTAAATACTAGTGAGTGTATTGAATGGCCTATTTTTCTGCCGTCCTACGACAAAGACAAAATCTATTCTTTTCAATCTCAGCATTCATAAAAGACCCAAAATTTAAGTTAATCTTTGTTTGATGTTAAAGGCCATCATTAACCCATTCAATAATGGCCAAATCTGGCCACACCACACTCTGTTTACACATTGCTGTACAGAAAAAGCCCACCATTAAAATGAAAATCTCACAAGAAGTGAAACCAAAAGAGATTACTTCCAAAAATTTTTTTAGTTTACCCGTTTGGCGATGAATCTTCATTATTTTAAGAGCAGTTTTATTTTCTTATTATTATGTTACTGAGTATTCGAGTACTTCATCATAGTTAAAGAATTTATATAACAAAAGCAATTGGAAATAAGGTATTGTGACAACCAGTTAAAAGTGGAACACAATTTATTTCATGAAAATATATTACAAAATAGATTTCTTTTCTTTCTAAATCTATTTATGGTAGATGTGGAGTTGTTCCCCATGGCTGGGGTTTTAATGGATACAATTTCTGAGTAACCTAAGTTGAATGAGTTAACTAAAGAAAACAATTAATAGGTAGAGCGCATCATATATTTATTAGAGTAAATAAAGTTAAAGAAATTCGAAGATTATCTAACAATATTTTTTACTTCAATGTTTTAAACTTAAGGTTTGTTTTTCCTGAAAGTTTTTTTGTTTGTTCCCATTTACATTTTAGGCTGAAATCTATGCAGAGATAGGGGAGGTGATCAATGGAACATGTGAAGCTAAACGTGAACAGATAACAATTTTCAAATCTTTAGGTAATTATTTACAATTTGTTAAGGAGACGTTACAAAATCTGTACTGTTAAATTATGCCTGAAAGGGGGAAGGAGGGAGGGGGGGTGGTAAACTCTAAACTCGGATCATTTAAAAGGCTAAACTTATACTTTATACACTTTATCTTTAGAAGAGGATTGGGTTAAAATAATGATGATAGACTTTACAATGTTACTGTCATGATATTGAAAAAAAATAAATTTGAGAGCTAGTTATTAGCAGACGAAAAATGTGTCCTACAAAAAGAATCTGTTCTTTACACTGACTAAATATTTTAAATTATTGAAATACAAGGCCAATAATCAGGATCTTTCAGGTTCATCCCAAAAAAAACATTTTTGCTGGGCTAGTCAAATGTTATATTTATACACCTATCTTAAGTATCTTACATATTTACATATCTGTCTGACTTAGTCAGACCTATTGTAAATGTTATCTTTATATAGTAGTCTGACTTGGGTGGAATGAAATATATACATACCTGTCTGACCTTGTCTAAATGTTATATTTATATAACATCGGATGGACCTAGTCTAATCCTTTTTTTAACCATTCAATCACAGTATAGACTTCACTAGCCTTACTTAACTTGATATCATTTATGAAAGTATTTTTATGTGCCTAAAATAATATTTTGTTTCTAACTTCCAGGTATGGCCATTGAAGATGCTGTGGCAGCTAAACTTGTTCTGGATAAATTAACTGTAAATGATTGAAATTTGTTTCCGGCAGTTTTTATTTTTCATGTACTCACAGCTTTAATCAGTATTAGAATCGAATGAATAATATTATTATACAGATAAAAGTTATGTTCAGACAGTATTACAATAGTATGCTGATAAAAGTAATGTCCGGACTGTGTTAATAACAAATGATACAAGATGAGTGTCAATTAAAAGGAGTTGATGGACACTGAATGGCGGGAAGAAACTGTCACGACTCATCTACGCTAAATGTCAATAAGTCAGCAGTAAAAAGGCTTCTTAGAAAGGAGCCACTCAGTTTGACAAATTCAGTTTTAACCAGACAAGAAGTATCATTTTAGCCAGACTGGAAGAAGTACACTCAGCATTTGGAGCTATTAATGTGTTCTGAATAAAGGTTGTGGATGCAATTCTGATTAAACTCCATATTATATTTTGATTGATTAAATCACCAGTTTGGTGAACATTCCATTTAATCATTCCAATTATAAATTGAGAGACATGCAGGGCCTGATTTAAAAAAATAAAATTAAGTGTTAAATCCTTTGACTGCATGATTATAGGTCAGAGTTAAATACCCTAACTAAATTAAATAGGTAAGAGTTAGCTCTCCAAGCTAAGTGACCTAAATGGTTTCTCCCAGTGTTATCATCCTACAGTGCCTCCTATTGCATGATATAGGTCAGAGTTAAATACCCTAACTAAATTAAATAGGTAAGAGTTAGCTCCCCAAGCTAAGTGACCTAAATTGTTTCTCCCAGTGTTATCATCCTACAGTGCCTCCTATTGCATGATATAGGTCAGAGTTAAATACCCTAACTAAATTAAATAGGTAAGAGTTAGGTCTCCAAGCTAAGTGACCTAAATTGTTTCTCCCAGTGTTATCATCCTACAGTGCCTCCTATTGCATGATATAGGTCAGAGTTAAATACCCTAACTAAATTAAATAGGTAAGAGTTAGCTCTCCAAGCTAAGTGACCTAAATTGTTTCTCCCAGTATTATCATCCTACAGTGCCTCCTATTGCAATTTCTATAAGCTTAAGACTAAACATCTGAACTTATAAATGTCTTTCATATAATAGTAAATCTATGACAACTTACACACATGTACAACATGCATTTCTATTATTTATCAGTTAAGTGTACTTTTCATGAAATTATTTGTTAGATTTTATAAACCGATGACTTGTCTTTTTAAAATGATCAAAATACTGTTTGTAAACATTGCATTTATACATGGTGGATCTATTGGATTTATTATCTGTAACACTGGTTTTCAACTTTTTTTCATCCTGCAACAGATTATAACCAACTAGATAAGCCCGCCAAACATTGGCGACAGTAATGCGTGAATTTCCCATCTGGTAAAGTTACTTGACAAAACATAAACTCAAGTGAATCACATTTAAGCATCCCAATATTTGCTACATTCCCCCTTCCCCTATGATACGTCACTGCACACTTTTTATTTCACGACCATGAACTATATTCATATTCTCATGTCCCAACCATTTTTAAACCGAATATTTTTTTACACAATTCTTAAACTGAGAGGATATCATTTCCGAAAAGAAAATATTACGCACCAAAAGCAATTGGGTTATTAAATAAATAAATATATATATATATCATTTAGCTTGGTTATCGGGAATTATATTTTACGCGCCAGTGAACACATTATTGAACCACACTCTGGCGTATCTTTAAATAGCCTGCGTGGTGTTTGACCCGTCTTGTTTGACCTTTCCTGGCGAATTATATATATAAGATTATTAAAGTTTCTCTGTAACAAAACATTACAGGTTTAGTTTATTTTTATCAGTTTGTTTAAAAAAAAAAATAGACAGTGTTGGTGTGGAGTATTATGGTACACTAGAAGATATGACCAGATTACTGGGATAATAAAGGCAGGCATTTCTACCTGCAATTACAAAGACGCATCAGAAATCTTTATTTAAAAATAGAAGTACCCAAGTAATGATGTTTATGTTTCTCATTTAATTTAGACTCGAGAATAATGGGCCCCGGGTGCGAATGGCGGGGCTGCGTGTCCGGGGCCATTTTGACTCAAAGCTATTCGGATGTCATTTGTGGTAGTTTATTTTAGTTCAACTGAAGAAAGTAAGTTTACAAACATATAGTCCATTTGATACTTTATTATGTCTTACAAACCCAACAATAATATTTTAAATAGTTTTTTTTAAAAATCCCAACCTCTCATTTCTGGTAACCGGGTGCGAATAGTCCCTTTGAAATTCAAATAGATTGTCATCTACGTAAAAATGTACACACCCTATTCCCTCCCCCTGATATGTGTTTATCGAAAAGGATTAATTATTGATCAAATTCACTCCCCTATTATGAGGCGTATCTTGTGCTGCCTGGGGCAAAATCAAAGAATCAAATCTTCCCCACTTCTACATTAAAAAAACAAAACATTAATGAAAAATCATCCTGTGGATGGTAGCCTCCTATGTGCAGTACCGCACATTTTTTCACGCCCCTGTACTTTACTGAAATTCTAAAGTACCAGATTCCTTTTACTGTGCATTGTTGTACATTTTCTATAAAGTAGTTTACTCAAGACTCCGTACGTTGGAAGATTATTGTTATTTATTTAGTCACCTACAAAAATATTCAACATTTTTTACCTGAGTTCAACGGTCACGCAGGAAGCTCGCCGCTTGAGAGTTTATTTCCCCCTTATCAGTACTATTAATTAAACACATTTTGAGTAGGGGAAGGGTTGGTTGAGAAAAGGAAGCAGCCACACCAGAAGCAATATATATATATATATTACATTATTTGGAGCTTATCATTTCCATCCAGTTTTTAGGTTAAAGCTCAAATTTAATTTTTATAGTTAGATTTTTTTCCCCTCTGCAATGGCATATGAAAAGGAAGGCAAAAGGGCGGGCTGTAGGGGCGTCATTTAGGTAGGGCAGAGAGGGACTTTGCCCGCCCCCTCACTCTGTATTGGCAGGTTTTATTTTAATTACCATGTACTGTGGCACCTCCAGTGATAAACAACTACACAAGCTGGCCAAGTTTTGCCCCCCCCCCCCCTGAAGAAAACCCTTGTAGTGACGTTTCTAGAGGGCTGCCACGGGTTGAACTTTTTTCTTTATTTTGAGGGGTGGTCATAGTCAGCCATCTGCAGATAAGGTTTTATTTTAATTACCATGTACTGTGGCCCCTCCAGTGATAAACAACTACACAAGCTGGCCAAGTTTTGCCCCCCCCCCCTGAAGAAAACCCTTGTAGTGACGTTTCTAGAGGGCTGCCACGGGTTGAACTTTTTTCTTTATTTTGAGGGGTGGTCATAGTCAGCCATCTGCAGATATTTTTATCATAGAAAGGGGGCCGCAAAATGTGTTGAATGCCCTGATTGGCACTAACCCTAACTACGTCATTGTTCATTTACATCAACATTTTGTGACATATTTGTTTTTAATTATATATATATATTAGCGTTTATTTGAAAAAAGATATCATGTGTCTGAAAGGTTTTCTGTAGATAACTCCAAAACAAAGCCCCAGGTGTCTAAAAGAGTTTGCAATAGATCACCAAGGAGATTAAAGTTGCGTATATTGTTACAAGAAATAGACACTCCCAACCAACGTGACACACCAGGTCCCAACCAACGTGACACACCAGGTCGCAACCAACGCGACACACCAGGTCCCAACCAACGTGACACACCAGGACCCAACCAACGTGACACACCAGGTCCCATCCAACTTGACACACCAGGTCCCAACCAACGTGACATACCAGGTCCCAACTAACGTGACACACCAGGCCGCAACTAACCCGACACACCAGGTCCCAACCAACACGACACACCAGGCCCCAACCAATGCGTCACCAGGTCCCAACCAGCGTGACACACCAGACCACAACCAACGCGACACCCCGGCACCCAACCAACGTGACACACCAGGTCGCAACCAACGCGACACACCAGGTCCCAACCAACGTGACACACCATGTCCCAACCAATGCGTCACCAGGTCCCAACCAGCGTGACACACCAGATCCCAAACAACGTGACACACCAGGCCACAACCAACGCGACACACCAGGTCCTAACCAACGTGACACACCAGGTCCCAACCAATGTGACACACCTGGCCCAAAACCGACGTGACACACCAGGCCCCAACCAACGTGACACACCAGGCCCCAACCAACGTGACACACCAGGCCCCAACCAACGTGACACACCAGGCCCCAACCAACGTGGCACACTAGGCCCCAACCAATGTTACTATTGTAAGATTTAGAGTAAAACTTTGACCCGCTGTTTGTTGTGTGATCTCTCAATATATAATACTCGACTCAGTCAACAGATATGGTACTGCGAAACTATACAAGATTTACTTGTTTCGCAACACATATTCACCTACATCAGGTTATCGACATATAGTTCCGCTTGACTGCGTCCGAACGTAGAATGTTACTTGACGCCAGCGACTGAGCGAGTGTGAGGGGAAATACCATTATATTATTTGGACACTTACACACATTTAGAGCATCATTAGTCTAACCTTTGGCTAAGCAACACTATAATTATAATGTTACTTAGCGAAACATTGGACTAATAATAATGATGATTTCTTCTTGCACTACATCTCGTGGTTGTGATCGGCAGTCTGATATGGTGAAGCCCTGTTCTGATGACACTTTGGTCAGGTGGCAGCCTGATCTGATGACACCTTGCTCTATTAGCAGCAGCGACGTAGCGAGGGTGTTTGGCGCCCGGGGACAAGATTCGCGCCCGGGGACAAGATCCATTTTAAAGCGCCCCTTTTTCTTTTTTTTTTTAACTCTCAAACCCATTATTTTCATCAATAAAATAATATCAAAGTGCATTTTGGCGCCCCTAACTAACAGGCGCCCGGGACATCTGTCCCCCCTGCACCCCCTCGCTACGCCTCTGAGTAGCAGCCTGCTATGGTAAAGCTCTGGTCTGATGACACCTTGCTCTAGTGGCAGCCTGATATGGTGAAAAGATGACAGCTTGCTCTGGTGGCAGTCTGATATGGTGAAAAGATGACACCTTGCTCTGCGGGGCAGCCTGACCGTGCATTTCACTACGATCAATTATAATATCAACTCGAGGGAACATCTTTACATCAATAAAAGAATCCCTTTGTCCCGTTGCTTAACATTTCAACAGTGCTAACCATAATGGAATATTGGACATTGTAGCTACTGGTATATTTGATGCGAGTAATACACCTGATTTAATGTAAATGGAAAACAAATTAACACAAAGGAACTGGTATGACGACTACAAGCGGTGTAAACCAAATTCACAATTCTACTTAACTGCACGTATTTTTCTTGATCGTTTTTTTTAATATTGTACTTCCCACCTACTTATCTTTGTTTACTGAGGTGTGTCGATTCTTATTCTTTTACTTAATTTTTTTTTAGTTATTGTTAGGAAACAAAAAATATCATGTACATTTAATTTATGATTATATGCATGTTTTGTTGTTGTGCTGGTGAATGATTTGCTGAAGCATTTTTGATTTGAATTTTGTCTAATCGAAATTAAAGCTGAACTTGTATTGTGTTATGTACACAAATTGATTGCGTCTCGTTAATCTACTTATAAAGATTAATCCTCAAAAGGGTCGAGATTTTACTCTCTTAGGACCCTCGACACGATTTTTACGGCGCGCCCCATCTGCTGGGCGCTTCCGTAAAGGAGATCATTAAGGCAAGCTTCCGGATTCCTACCGTTCTGTTATCGAGTCGCTAGAGATAACTCTCATCTGTGTGTTAATCTACTTAAAAGCTTTATCGCAGTCCAAGCCTTTTACAACCCGTCAATTTTTTATTTTTTTTTTAAAAATCGAGATGTCACCCGGTGCGGCCCCCTAGTGACGCCACTGCACTCCATACCTTAGTATGTTGTGTTGTGTATGAGCAAAAGATTGGATGACCTCTTCTCGGTAGGCTGTATGGACCAGCTACGGTTGTACGATCGCTTTACGGTTGGGGGTACTAAAAAGAAATTGTATATAACAAGCAATTTAAAGGATGGCATTCCATAAGTTTGAGCTTCAACGTAGCACAAACTCTGGCCGTTGGGTTTGTCACTGAATGGCGGAAATCTATTAATGGAACATCCGGGCATTCAGTCTGGTCAATCTCAATGAAAGGCGGACAGATATTAATTATTATTATTTTTTAATCCTGTAATTCCGTTTGTCCAATCTCTCAAAGGTTGTTCGGCACTTCTACGTTCACTTGAGCCGGCATAGTGGGTCTGAGCCCAGACGAAAACGTGTTAACAAGTTTATTTTACGAAAGATTTTACAAACAAATTGTTACTGGTATATTTATATATTCGGAAATACATTGTTAAAAGCCATATTTTACGAAAAGATTGTCTAAACATAGTATAATGACGTCATGCGATGTGACGTTTTCCAGCGTTACAAAAGGCAAACCCCATTGCGAAGAATGATTATAGAAGCGGCCATTTTTGTCTTAATCGTCTGTGTGACAGCATTCGGTATCTATCAAAGCTTATTTGATAATGCTGGGTCTGATCATCTAAATGAGGATTGACCTTTTAAAAAGTGAATATGGAATGTCAAGATCCAGGTCTCTGATACCTCATTTTTTTGGGAAACATCCATATTAAAAATAGAATTTAATATGATCAACCCGTGATTATTATTATTTTTTTTTACTATGAACAATAATGGTGACTGACTATATAAGGTGCACGTGAAACTTTTTGTGTGTGTTGTTGTTGTTGTT